CCGCGTTCCGTTTGTCTTGGTTGTCATTTATATTTACCCACCGCACACCGACGTTGTCGTTTTTTAGTTAATTTATATTTTTGTGGGGACCACCACCACCACCCCCCTCTCCAGCCCCTCGACTTTTACCTCTCTCTCTCTTTTCCCGCATTTTATTCGATGTCTATTTTTAGCCACTGATTTAATATGCGTGCATGCGTGTGCGTGCCTCTCTTTGTTTCGCATTTCTTGGTTTCTCTTTTTTTGGCCACATTTCGTCGCCTTGTTCACAAAGGATACCGCGCAGTGGGTGCTTGCTGGAGGGGGGTAGTGGGTGGGGGCATCCTGGCTGGAATGGTGACACAGCGAGGACAATTTGTATGCGGTTTGTTTGCCATTTTTCACTTAAACTCTGACTCCCCCTCCTGCGATATTGCACCATTTCGCTTATGTAGATTTATTTGGGGCCTCTCGAGCGGTCAAGCGTGTCCCGTTTTCTTGAGAGGTTTATGTGTCTGTGAGGATATCGCTGGGGATAGAGCACCAGCGAGGGTGGCGGGGAGGGGGGATACAAATAAGATAATAAAACCAGCGTTGGGGTCCGATAAGCGAACGTTAGCCCGGCTCGTTGTCCGGCAACCGAACGGGTTCAATGGTTTCCCAGCATCGAACTAAATCTGTTTACTTCGATACTCATTTTATTTATTACGAACACTAATTTCAACCAGGAAGTACAATAATAAAACTGCTTTATTATTTTACTTCCTGGTTATTTATTCAGTTTATGGCCGGACAGTCCAAGTTTCTCAATTCCATGGAAACGTTGGGCTGAGGAAATAACAGTCAAGCTGAAATTAAAATTGCGTGCCACAAAATTAGTTTGTCATTTTATAAGAGCTTTGAGAAAAACATTTCTTAAACTGCTGGAGAAAATAAGATTAGTCCTTCATTTTGACATTAGTAAGTTTTTTATTTAATTTTTAATATTGTAAACATTTTTACTTTAGATACCTAGCTTAGATACCATACTCAAAATGAATTACTTCGCCAGAATTAAAGTAATAAATAATAATGAGATTTGTTAGTTAAGCCAAATTAATCAAAAAGCTGAATTGACAAAGAAATATTTTAGACATCAAGTAAAATATTAGTTTATAGCGCTCGCCATATGCGAATCACAATTTGTTTTACTTCTTTCGATAATAGACATTTCAGAGACATCCACGAATGGGATTCAAAAACAAGCCATTTCTAAATCCCTTAATTTCCATGTTATAAATACCCGAGTATTGATTAAACTCGGCTAGGTTCGCTTCCGGTCAACATATTTTCACAACTTTCACGTAGTTCATTCCGCAACCCACGTTTCCGCATTATCCTCGAAATAGGAAGCGGAGTATATGGCACCCCTGGACAGTCATAAATTTATTCACGCAAATGAAGGCCCATGTTGGCAGGTTCATGAGTCGGACTCCTCCTTATTGTTGTTTACATTTTACACTCATAACTTTCAGCTCGCCCACGCACAAACACGTGCCATGCCAGAAAGAGAGAGAGGGGGAGAGAAAGTGGAGAAAGGTGTATCGCTAACACTTTCACCGCTTACACATTATTTGATAGGACCTGGGAATTCTCTACAATATAGAGTTTATATCCCTTTCGAGCTGCTAACTTGCTGCAGTTTACACATTAACTTCCGCTCTGGCACTGAAGCCCTTGCTTAGCCAGCATAATGCATTATAGTATTATATAAATATTACGCATACGCCGTGGTGTACGTAAGCCGGAGGTAATGAGTCCACGGCAAGCAGCAGAATCGCGTGCCCCGCTCCCATTTATCAATTTCGTGGCTAAAAGTGCGCGTAAAATGGAGAGCCCAAAACCGCAGATAGCACCTGCTGCTCTTGGCCAGCGTATAAATCTTCCACTTCCACTGGCCTCTGCAATTAAAATGCAATAAAGGATGCATTTAAATGGCTAAAGTACAGTGAAGCAAGAAAGGGGGGAAGGTGGAGCCCTTATTGACTTACTCGCTTCCAATGCGCGGCATGCATTTCCGACCCAAGTGCTCAGTTAAATGGAATGTCTGACATGCACCCTGCCACAAGCTGGAATGCCACCCCAAAACTTCTGCCGTGCGCTATTTCGGGGTGCATGCAACTTGGGTTCTATTTCGGGATCGCTTTATAAAAACCGCAAGCCATCGGTGTGCTCACAGAGCCGACATGACCGCCCAGAGGTGCGATGTCGGGCTTTGGCAAATGGCAGGTGGAGAGTGCAAAGTGGCAGGTAGCAGGTGGCAGGTGGCATGTGGCAAGAGGCAGGCGGTTGCGTCAAGGGGACGCCTGTTTCATGCCTTGCACGTAGTCACTGCACTGTCGAAATATCCTCATTTTTTCGGGCTCGTTGTTTCGCACTTCAGCCATGGCCAAGAGGAGCTGTTAAAGAGACACATCAGAGGTGAAAAAAAGGTTAAAAGTGGAGTGAATGTGTCAATAACCATCTAAGCAAACACGATGGCACGACACAAAAATAGAAACGCTTCTTGCATATTTAGAGAAAGAATTTCGATAATGTACTTAGGGGTAAAATATCTGATTTTTGCACAGTTCAAACAATATTTACATTGAAATGTATTTTCTTTTATCTAAGGGATTAAAAATAATCGTTAATGGACCCATTTGCTTTAAAACTACTTTTTTTATTTTTTACTATGATTTTATTTTGTAAGCGTCACACCTAAACCCTTTTTTACTTATGTCAACTAAGAGAACAAAAATCCGCCAAATTGGAAAACCAATAAAGCTTTATTCACTTATGCCCACAAATTGTAGTCTATTAAAAATAATCGTCTTTACTCTGATATAATCTGTAGCCTAAAGTTTCTTTATAAATTATTGTCGCATACATATGTTTTTGAACTTATAACTTACCATTGATTAGTTTATTAAATTTGTTGATTGCATTGGAGTTTAATGGAATTGTTAATTTAAGAGAAATTTTACGAAAAGAATTTGAATATTTGTTCAACATATTATTTCTCCCAAATGCATTTAAAAGTGAAACTCCTGATGAAACACAAGAAGCCACCCCTTTTTTAAAAGGTCAACAGTAAGAGAAGTAATTAAGCTTGGGGTAATTAAATATTTGCGATGCGAAGTTAGAACTGCTTTGATGACTTAGCAGTTCAGAAATCCAACAGCTTCTCTGCTTTCTTTAATAATTATTCTTCAGAAGGCCAGTGCTTGGATGCTCTATCGGATTTCTTGTGAAGATGCTGCCACAATTTCTGGTTTACCCCAATGCACTTTTATGGACTCTAAACATTTAGTTGCTTGGTTTTTCTCCGGTTTCCTTTTATTCCAGCTTTTTGCTGGATTTTAATTGCTCAATTCCGTTAAGTCAGTTGCTGTTTTTAGTTGAAGCAAAGTTTAAAGTAATTTATGCTGAACCGCAATAAATTGGGGTGGCAGCGGAAGAAACTAAGGACGTGGAATGCTTCGTGCATTTTTAGCGGAAAAGTTGACCCAAAGTTTGCAGCACTACGTACTATATCTAAAGTAGATTCGCGTAAAAGCCGAAGGACCATAACTTGTCGGGAACTTGGGCAGGATATTTTTGGTGGGAGGTATGAGGAGTGGCAAACCAGAGCTACCAAATCCCCGCACTCCCCCCGCGACGAGTGTTTGTGTTTTTATTAACGCCAAACAACGGCCAACAGATTTCGATAAGCCAAACACTTATGGCCACAATAAAATGTCGGCCAGTCTTAATGGGTGTCAACAGCACGGCCAATAATAATACACCCGTCTTGTCCTGTTTCCTTTTTTTCCACAATTTTACGAGCACTTTATAACGGTTTAATAGCCCGAACAATGAGTAGCCACCAACCTCCCTTTTCGAACCCGATTGACGCAAACTGGAGGCGACCACTCGAGTCGCGTGGAACTATGTATATTGGTTAATGGCATGATGGCTATGACACTATCCCCCCTATGTTATCCTAGTCCTAGTTCCTAGTCCTGCCCGCAGAATCCAGAGGCCACAATAAAAGCAAAGAGACTCGATGCGCGTGTCTAAAGCGGAAGTCTTAGCGAGCACACGTCTTCCTGCTCGCCCACTTCAACTTTCCATCATCATCAGCGTCTCAAGCCGTGATGAACTTAAACAAATATCTGTGACAGTCCTCCAAACACACTCACACACACACACACATATCCATCCACATAAACAAACCGGAGACGTTCCACGCCGGACTTTCTCTTTGAAATCGAAAGCAGACGGTTCCGCGTGGAGAGGGGGCGGGGGGTCGAACTTTAATCGCTGTTGACAAAGTTGCCAACTGCCACGCGGCCGTCTAAGCCCAGTTTGTGACACGACTTTTAAGTGGCCGAACCTATCGTCACACAGACGTCATTTCGGCGGGGCCAAAGGTCAAACTTCTGACAGGAAAATTTGATACTCTGCCGCACAGAAACATAAAGACCCAATTGTTGGCTAATTGGCATTACAATTATTGAACATTAATTGGCTGAAGATGTGAACAGCCAGCTGAAACCCGTTCACCTTAGTCTGTTACACGTAGAAAAGAGCATTTAAGAAATATTAATTAGAGAAAATACAATCGCCAAATCTTCAAATCAATCCAATAAAATATTCGGATACACTTTCTTAAGTAAGAAGCTGAGACCAAAGTCTCAATATAATATTAAAAGGCTAATATGATAAAAATAATAGAGTAATATTTAATTGTGAGTTAATCTTTTATCCTAACACATTTTTTGTGTGTCTTAAAGTACACCCTGAATATTGAAAACTACTATAACAATTTGTGAAATATTTCTACAAATACAAATCTATATACATCCTTTCATTAAGATATTGTTCTAATGAAATCTTCAAGCATTTATCATTAATAAAACTAATAATAAAGTTAAAATTACAACCTTAAAGTATATATTGGTTTTATAAAATATAGCCAACTTGTTAACTGATTTTCTTTACTTACTCTGTATGTTCAGGTATCCGCTTCGGGCAAGGGCGTGCTAATCACCGGCTGCGAGGCCCCACTGGCCTGGTACTTGGCCAAGAAACTGGACGACCTGGGCTTCACCGTTTACGCCGGATTCAACACGCCCATCGAGGATTCGGACGAGGCCAAGATACTCAAGGAGGAGACCTCGGGACGCATGAAGCTGCTGCACCTGGACGTCACATCGGAGAAAACGGTAAGTCTACACGGTACATGACGAGTCCTGAACTTTTAGCCGAGTCTACAACCATCGTCCTTAGATTTTGGAAGCTGCCCGCTATGTGTCGCAGCACTTGCCCCATGGCGCCGAGGGGTTGTGGTCTGTGGTGCACTGTGCCCACTGGATTGCATTGGGTGAACTCGAGTGGATTCCATTTGCCGTGCTGAGGAAGAGCCTGGACTTGAACCTGCTGGGTAAGTGTGTGGGGGCGCCACTGTGCGCAGGACTAGGGCTGCAGTCCTTGAACATCTCCCTTGAACTTCGCAGGTGGAGCCCGCCTCACCCAGATCTTCCTGCCCCTGGTCCGCCGTGCCCATGGTCGCGTGGTCTTCCTTACCTCCGGCCTGAACCGGGTGCCATCTCCCGTCCGGGGCATCCAGAACGCCACCCAGGCGGCCGTCGACTGCTTCGCCGCCTGTCTGCGCCAGGAGATGAGGACCCGCGGAGTGGATGTGTCCGTGGTGGCCGCCGGAGAGTTCGCCCCCGGCAACGGCTGGCTGAACGAAACGGAGCTGCGGGACCAGGTGAGAAAAGGAGCTAATTGCAACATTTCGCTTAATATGCAGAGCTTAATGGGGTCCACTGGGAGAAATTTTACTTCATTTGGTCATCAAATATAGTTTTAGTAGTATTCAATTGATAGGAATTAAAAGAAATAACTTATTTCATTGGTATTTGCGTATGTTACTTCAAAAATATTAAAATTAGAAGGGCATTTATCGAAAATTTTGGTTAAACAAGTTGTTACAGATTTTAAACAGATTTAAAAGCAATTTTCCCAACTATACTTTTTGAGGAATATCAAACCTATATCTGTTATATTTACATTCAAGAGAATTTATAGGAGAGCTCTATTTATCACAGAAACTGTACCATTTTTAGAGGAGTTTTAAATTTGATTAAGAGAAAGATTTAAAATTTAAATGTATATTTTAAGTAATAACATATAACTGGGCCTTTCAAAGCCAAAACAGAACAGGATATCAGAGTAAAAGACTTACTTTTGATTACAATCATTACTTTTAAGCGTGTTAATTTTTTCTAAATACTCCAAGCCACTCAGTGTTTTCTTAACGTGTATTAACCTTGTCGTGCTTTTAGTTTTTTACGATACGATAACTATTCCCGAGCAGCGGGGACTGCTAAAACAGTTTGTGGGCAACTCATTAACCTGGCTGCTTTCCTTCCCCCTCCCCTGTCACATTTTCCGCAGGCCAAGCAAATGTGGAACCAGCTTTCCTCGGAACAGAAGAAGACCTACGGCGAGGATTACTACGAGGCGGCCATGACGTCGGTGGAGAAGTATTCGCGCCAGGTGAGAGTCCACCCAGTTGGCCACCCACAAAACGTGTGTCCGGCGGCTAACGAGAGTTTAATCCTTGGACTTGCTTACCCATTTCCAGGCGGCCGACATCCAGCCCACGCTGCGCGTCCTCATCGATGCCGTGACCAGGACCTTCCCCATGGCCCGCTACACTCCAGTGACGGCCAACGAGAGGCTCCAGATCTTCCTGGCCGAGCACCTGGCTCCCTCCCTCTACGAATCGGTGTACGGCGAGCAGAAGAAGTTCGTCTACTGAGTGCCCCATCCCAGATCCACTGTCCACTATCCAACATCCACTGTCCAATACCGAAACGGCCTGATATTGTTATTCGGAAATTGTTATTCATTTATGATTTACCCCGAAATCCATCTCCCTGCTCCTTGGTGCGCGTGAAGGACACCCCGAAAAGGAACTGTTGCCGGGAGCACTGTTTCGCTGAGCTCCGCCAGTCGATGAGCATTTACGTCCTTCTCTCGATTATACTCATATTTCTCCTTTTCACGGAGGCGTCTGCGAACGCCTGCATAATATTATTTTCTTAAGTTGCTAGAACGAATTGTATAACGACGAATAAAATGAAATGGAAACAATAGCAAACTGGATCTTTCTCTCTCACTTGGGTGAATGAATTATTAAATGGTTTTCATTGTACGGCATGGTATTTTCTGCTTTTACTCACCTTTGAAGACCTATTTTTTACTAAAAGAATTTATGGTTGCATAATTTGTAGACTTTATTGCAGTGTTGAGCATTTCTATTTCTGCTAGATGGAAATGCTTCTATATTTATAATGTTTATTTTATCAACATGTTGAGTAGGTAATATAAATTCTATAATTAATTGGTTTATTAAAAAGTTATTTAAAGTTTAAGATTAAAGGTTTCTAATATAGTAAATATATTCCTGAAAAATAACTTTCTAACTTAGATATGGTACAACTTTAAGAGATGGTTTCAAATAGTTATATAAAAAACTAAAAGGATTCAATTATATAGAACTGCCTACCAATCACTGCTTGTCTCTTTTGTTAGTGCATCCTTCTCCTCCTTTCTTTCGAATGGATTTTTAGAATCCTGTTAATTGCTTTTGATTGACATTTGCCGAGTGGCCTGGCTTAGTCCTGTCGGTGCATTTTATGGTGCGATTTGTGAGACATCCGGCCGCATAAACAAGGCCTCTAATACTCCTCGCACTGGTAAACTAAGCTTAAGTGCAGTGGCTGTGGCAATGGCAGTGGCAGGAAGAGGAGCCTGACATGGCCGCCAAGGAACACGGCTGAGCGCTCATAAAAATAAATTCAATAAATTTTTAATGCGTTTGATTCAGAGCAACAATGACACTTCCGCCGCGTCGGAAGCCAAGGACTTTTGCCGGCAGGAGCTCAGGTGTTGGAAATTCCCAGCGCAGCGCAATGAGCTGTTAGTACTGGTGTTAGAGACACCAAGAAGTGCATAACTGGCGCATAAATCTGCCATGGTTGTTAATGTAAGCCGCAACTGGCAGATGTACCCCTCCTACTTACCCCCCTCCCCAGGTGGCACGTTCGAACTTTTAAGGGTAAGCGAATGGCGGTAAACAAAAAAGTTACCAGGGAAGTGAGTCGGTTAGCTAAAAATACTTATCTGCCATATATCTGCCAACCAAAGGCAACCAACTCTGACCAATGCTTTCCGCATATGGTATATATATACATATACCATTATCTGTCAGCTTTCACGGTGTTTTTCTCCCCCAATACATACACTTTTACTCATTTTATATTTTATATCCAGCCATGTGTAACACTTCCTGTGCTTTTGTCGCCGCTTTTGGCCAGAAATTATCCGTATTACCCTTAAAAATGTTGTCGCATTCTGTTTGCGGAATTCCTCCAAGCGAGGGAAGCCGAAAGGTCCAGCCAAGGATTCCGGTTCGAGCGATTGTTGAATGGAAAGTCTGATGGCACTCTGTCTCATTTCCATTATGCCGTTTGCCTTTAAACTTCGACGCCTGGCAGGGATTCCAGAACATATTTTATGCTTGCATCCGGAACTTCAACAAGGATTTAAATTTGCACTGGCCGGCGGGCGATGAGGAAAACTACGTTTTGCATGTTTCACATAGTGCAATCTTTTTTTTTTTTTTGCCTCCTAGATTTGTTTCCAGCCATAAGGGCAAGCTGCAAATGCAGCATGTGTATGGAAAGTGAAATTTAAAATGTCTGAGATTGCAGGGAAGGAGTGGTAAGCTAATAAAAGCCAGAGCTCTGAAAGGAAAGCAAGGCTCTTCGCATAATTAAAAGTTCTCCTTATTATCTACGAACTTTTCACTACTGTTGAATGGAGTAGGACTTATTTCTTTGGACCCCAAACACATCAGATTAATAGCACTTAGCAGCAGGACAGCTTTAAATATCAGAGACTATTTAATGTAATTACCCCTCGATCGATTGATATACGGTTTTGGCATTGTCCAAAGAACACAAACAAAACGGATTATTTAAGCAAAAGTTGCTTATCCTTGAAAGTGGAAACTACTCGCAAAGTAGTTTATCGACCACAACAAATCCGGAAAAGTAGCCCAACTCTGCACATAAAATCGCATTTTATTGTTTCGATAAAAAGTAATTTTCACACATTTATCCATTTATTTATTTTCTCTTTTGTTTCGTTTTTTTTTTTTTTTGTTTTTTTAAGTTACAAATTACAATTTCCAATTGATTCCTGTGGACACAACGTAAATGTAAATTGAATTAAATTCGGGTTTCTACAACCCTTTGGAAAGTGCAGCAAATGGTGCTTGTTCATTGATGCAGCATAAATACAAAAAAAAAGGGTTAAAACCCTTCTTTGTGTGCCTAGGGTGAACGTTTATTCAATTGTTAATTGGTTTAATTGAGATTCAATTAAAGTACATTTTAGTTTGCTCCCTAATAACCCAAACTGTTTTTGGTGTGACATTCACAAGGATTCCGGTATGGAAAATATATATATTTATCTATTTGCCTAGGTAAGGTCTATATTCTGCAATTCGTTGATCGTCCGCTGAGTGAGGTGAGGATAAGGTTATCTAAGACTGGAGATCGGCCTTTGAGGCACTCCAGGTTTTTTTGGCTCATAATTGGCTATTGGTCTAGGAACAATTAGCGGCTGATAATAGACATTCAAGGTGAGTTGCTCTACGACAATGTGGGCTCGAAAAATACACAACTTTCAGATCTACTACGGTTATTGAGATAAAACCACACGGTGCAACCATCCAAATCGGTCGCTTCAAGTGCCGTCATCAAAACGTTTTCCAAAAATACTCCGGCTGGCCATATAAACTCGTACAAATTCCCTACATATATACATTCGCCATTCACACACAGTCCTTAAGCTACCACTCATTCGTTTGAGGGAGTCCGTCACTCCCATTTTAGCAGGACAACTCCGTGGATCTCCTGGCGGCATCGCTCCTCGCCGAGTATTCGCTGTCCTTCGGCTCACGTCCCGTAATATCCACCAGGGAGTTGGGATCCATGTTCGACAGCTTGTCCAAATCATCATCGTTCATGAAGTTCGGCTGCAGTTTGCTCACCAACCGCCGCAACCCCTGAGCATCCAGCGATGTGCGACGCAGATTGGCATTATAGTCGCTGGGCTGTGGGGAAAATGGAAATGGGAAATGGGGAAATGGGAAATGGAAAACCGGCATGGCAAGGGTTATCCAAAGCCAGGATGAAAGGGCAAAACAACTCACATCGCGCCACTGCTCGCCAGGGAAGACGGCAATCAATTCGGCATTTGGTTCCAGAGTGCTGAAGTACTCCTCATCATCGACCTCGGTGCCATCGCAATCCAGGTGTATCGCCGGCTGAGCCCGCTCGAATTTCACCGACACCTTCACCCGCAACTCCGACAACGTTGTGGCCACCACTGCCTTGCGGATGTTCCGCGTGATGTCCTTGATCTGAAATGGAGGCGACGGATTACTTGGAATTTGAAGCCGAATTCAGCCCCTGTATTGACATGCCGCAAATTGCATAGCGCTGATAGGAAAGGCTTAACTAAGACACAGGAAAAAATATTGTCTAAATTGTATCTTTGAAATACCTTTCAAACCACTCCAAATTATGTTGAATTTTAACTTTTACATTAATATTGACTGCTTTTTATGTTTGTATAAGCCTATTCAAAGTTTATGTTTGCCATTATTTGTACGGAAAAATAAAAGTTCTTGTTAACTTTTTCTTGCTTAATTTGAAATTAATTTTATAAAACAATTAATATATTCTACCCTTTTCAATTTGTTCAATTAAAATTAAATTGATATTTTTGTAGAAAGAAAATTAAAACATAAATCATGTTTGACAATCTTGAATAAACAATTTTACAATATTTATATTATTGCAGTGTAATCATAATAAAAAGCTGAAATTGATAGACCATCTTAAGAAGTGGAATTTTGAAAGGAATTTTCAATATACAGGATTCTATACAAATTTTGATGTGTTCAAGATTATGTTTTACTCCCCCGTTTACCAATTTGTGTGCAGCTGAAATATTTTTGGTCTCAACGGTTTAAAAGAGTTTTTATTTATTAATAAATATACGAAATACTATCATTGACCACCATCCCCTCTAAAATTCTTTCTTCGATTTGGAATTTAAGTTAGCGTTATAAAAATCATGGACGTTAAAGTGTTAGCATATGCTGGAAACAAAAGCTCTAAAATAAAATAATAAAGACAATTGAACCTAAAACTTGACAGGTTTATTTTAAAAACGATTTAATTTTAAATGTTGATGTCAATTTGTATTCAAAGTAATTTTATTTTATCAATTGCGATCCAAAAGCTTGCGCCCACTCCAAAATGTTTACTAAGCCAAATGTGTTTATGATAGTCAATTGCTAAGCCCTCACACATTTTGGCCATTAAGCTATGGCAACACAGCGAAACACAAAAGCTGGAAACATTTGTTTGCTTTAATTTCGAAAAGGCCCGTAGGCAGACGACCTCGCAGCTGTCAATAAAAACAATATGAAGTTAACGAACCGCGGCGAGAAAGATAAGAGCAAGGATAGGAAAAGACGCATGTTAATTGTGATGGAGATAAAACCTTGGGGAAGGTGGAACCAGAAGCCAGGAGCAACAACTAATCAATTTATCATTTGCCATAACAATAAAGCCAAGCGAACAATAGGAAGGTCAAGGCACAAGTCGATTATATTTTTTTTTTACCTTTTTCTGCCTCTTTTGGGCCTAAAAGATTGCTACTAAAATATTTAAAGCATAATGCTGTCGATTCCAAACAGGCAACTGCCAAGGCCAAGTATGGATGGATGAACGGATGGATGGGTCAAGCGAAAGGTGAAAGAAAACAAGAAGAAAATGGGCAGGCGAAAGGGACTTTGGTCAAAAAGTTGCCAACGCCTCCATTGTGCTACTTTTCGGCATTACGTATACGCCCCGGTTGCGGGTGGGTATATTCTGAAAAATTACCAAGGGGTGCGGCTGGTTTTGACAGATCTTCAGGTGTCTCCGGTTGACAGGCGACTGTCAAGCGGTTTGTGGCCATTTAATCGTAACGTTCCGCATTCGTTGCGGAATCATCAGCCACAAAGGACTCCCATTTCGACCTCTCTCTTTATGGCCCATCAATCAATCCCCTACCTCTAGGGTTCAGTGTTCAGTCTGGTAAACCAATTAAACGATGCTTAGGAAATCCATCAAATGGCCAATGTCTGGCCCAAGTCTGGAGTCTGGAGTTCAGCTGGTGTAAAAATCCAGTGGCCATCTACAACAATGAACATTTATCATGCATTTAATGCGAATTTTAATGGGCAGTGGGTGTGGTTCATTTTATATGTTTTTTTTGCTTAGCATTTGCTATTGTTGCCGACCAACAAACTATTCAATCAGCACCCCTGCCACAAAGTCTGGGCCAAATGCCAATGTCCTGCGGCTTTGTTTGCTTTATACCACTTTTTCGCCTTTGTTGGCATTCCCTGTTGCTGCCGCCAGTAAGTCATTATAACTTGGCTTTCTTAACTGCCTCTCTGCCGCTGAACAATGTGTATTCTCACTTTCGGAGTGGCCCCAGTTGAACTTTGACTTTTTGGTCAATCCCTTCAATTGGCTGCCATGGCATATTTAAGTGGTTTCATCTAGCTGCACTTAGTGTCTCGTCCTGATTTGCGGTTCCACTTCGGCCGAGTTGTAGGCTCTGTTTCCCGAGGCGGAACAATATTTACACCACCGTTGCAGTTGGGCTTTCGTTGGGCAACTCACATTTTTGTTTGCCAGCGTCCAGCGTAAATATTGCCCCTGTAAATTTGTAAATTTTGTAAGTTCCCCGTTTGCTCAGCAGCGGGCATCATTAGAACGGGCGACAAACAAGGCAGGAGCGTGACAAGGACAATGCGCAGGACTCGCAGTGCAGTCATGAATTCGCCATGAGACATCTGAGATGTGAGGCGGGCTCGGGAATCTGTTGTTCAAATAGCACTTAGGGCCAGGTCAGGAAATGCAAATTACGTAGGATGTGGGCAATTATAGAATCCGAATTCGAGTCCCTCTGTGGAGAAAAGCCGATTTCGGGGCTTGGTAATGGAAGCGACTGTAATTTCGATTGGCCCAAGGTCCCGGCCCTCAAAATTGCTTTGATGATGCGCCTGCGGTGTCGATTGTCCAGTTCTCGCTTCATGGCATTTATCGGAGACATTGACGCACTAATTTCCCCTGATTGTCATCAGAATGCCATAGCAACACTTTGTATTGTGTACCGAGGAAAATTACATTTAAATATTAGTTCTAAGCAAATTAAAGCAAGCATTCAACAAAATATTGTTAATCAATAGTGTGATTTTCTAATATTTTGATTTGCCAATTGGGTTTTACACTAACAAAAAAGTTTTTTTATTTAACAAAGTCTAAAAACTCAGACTACATTTTAAATATTTTTAAGTGCATATTTATCCTTCAAAGTAAAATTTTCCAAGCAATTTTCATGTAAATTGAATCCCAATCTACGTGAATATTTCGCCGAGTGTGCTGCTTTGTCCTACGGAAATCATTAGCATCGTTCATTCATTCGAAGTCCATGGGCCATGATGAGTTCTCAACTGCTTTCAAACTCGTCGTCGCGTTCCACACTTACACGTACTTATTAGCTTACTTATTGCGGAGGACAGCGGGGTGTTGTTAAGTTGCACGCTTGCCTGTACATGAATAATGCTCGTTTATTTGGCTTGATGCGCAACGTGGCGTATACGCAATGTCTCAGTCTCAGCAAGGCGTATTCTCCGCAATGTTTGCTCTTCGCTTTTGTTACGTTTTTTTTTTCTGTTTGTTTGCCGTTGCTGTTCCATGCGGCATGTCAGCTGGTAATTTAATCTCAGACCTCCCCAGCTTTCCCGTGAATCTCTCCATTTGGGTGGCTCAGACTTTATTTTTGAGCCATTTGCATTTTGGACCCCAAAGGTGGACTCCGAACGAGTGCGACATGAAAAACGCATTTGCGCGTTAACCCAATGAAGAGAAAGGTGAGTGGGTTTTTCCCCACATCCAATCAGATTTGTTTTACAGGGATTTAATTTCCTGCTCGCTCCAGAGATGTGTTGGGCAACCACAGCATTTCCTTCTGGCTAAGAAAATTAAACTCCAGAGACTGCAAGCTGTGTGCAAAAAAAGGGAATGCAACCAAAAAGTGTCCCTTGCAAAGATTTGATGGGAAAAATCTATATTAACTTTGGATTTTATGCTCCAAGGGCAAATAAAAACAAAACTAAAACCAATCTATAAAGTTAAACCAAAACATTGAATCCTTTTAAAAATCAAAGGTATAGATAGTAAAATGCTTTACAGATTTATATCTATTTAGAGATTTAAATAGCTTTGGAATTAATTACAGGATTGCATTTCATACAGGAAATGAAAATCCATCAGTGAACTCTTAATCGTATTAAGCCAAATCATTAAAGTCCTCCCAATCAAAGTCTGGAGCGTAAATGTACTTCGTGTGTTGGCATATTAATGACTCAAGGATTATCACCTCTTATGTTAATTCCCGTTTGCTTTCAGTTCCTTGTGCAATTAGTCAATGAGATAAAATCAGCAAGCATTCCAGCGTTTTTAATCAGCAGCTTAGCAGTGCCTGAAACACTCGATGAAAAGGGAAGCCATATCAAATGGCACACAAGATGAGGGCTTATTAATTAGCTGGAATTCGCAGGAATTACTCATGCGTCACGTGGGCCCACTCGCAACCATAACCACTTGACTGCCGCTGACAAATGACATCGCGTTTCGGCCACATCAAGCTGTCAATTAATTGCTCTCGCCTGGCAAATTTACAGCCACTTGATAGCTCGTGGAGCTCATCATCCATTCAGCCGGATAGCCAGATGCCGATCTTTGGGCCAGTTTATATTGTTATGGCAGTGTCTTTAATGCCGTCAGCACACAATAAATCGATTAGCGGCCAAGACGCCTCGTTATCGTTATCGTCGTGCACAGGCGACTTGGCTTAGAAGTGGGCGTGGCACACGGAGGTGATTGGCAAAATGACGGCAAGATTGGCTGGTTGGTTGGCCCACAGTGATATACGAGTCACTTGGGCGCCCGCATGCGGATCCTACTATTTTATCCAGCTGAACAGTTTGAACGTTTTAATTAAATTTCAATTGTTGGCCAGCCACACAGAAAGAAAAATGGTCGAAAGAAAATTCTACGTGACTAGCATTTTAGCAAGGAAAAAGAGTTAATAAAACTTTTCATTATTTCTATCATATAAAATTCCTCTTAAATGTTGTCTTTAAACTATAACTTGAAAATTCAAACAGTAAATCATGGAAAAAATGGTATACAAGAATTTATATAATTTTAAACTATTCAGTGACTCCAAGTGTAAGGATTAAAATATCTTTAAGTAGCTCTGTATTAGCTATAAATTAACTTGAGGTTAAATTGTGTTGAAGAAGTGGATCTAAGGATAGCAAACTGCAATTAATATTTTTTGATCAGACCCATATATTATATAAAATCCAAATTGAATTTTCAGGCAGTTAAATTTGGATGATTCAGCACTAAAAAATAAAATACTTTTTGTTAAAAATTATGGTAAGGGGTAAATGGAAATGTCATGTAAAGCAAAACTGCTTCTGACTTTTGTCCTTTCTTCCTGTGCACTAAATTGGCTACGGCTACGCAATCTTTATAGTCAAATAGAGTTTTTGGGTGGCGAAAAGTGAATGGGGAAAGTAAGGAGCAAGCTCTGTTTTCCGGGAAATTGTTCTAGCACCAGTTTTGGCAGCGGATTGAAAAGTTGGCAGAATGCTTAAAGGGCGTATAAAGCACCGGCAGTATGAGTAGTAGTAGCAGCAGCAGCAGCCCTTCAACAGCCAGCAGTGCCGATGTCGATGATGCCACTCAACGCCGAAGGCTTTGAAGTGGCCGCTCCGCCGGGGAACCCTTCACTTTGTTCTGACCTGACCAACGAACTTTTTTCACCTCTTAATTCTTTTTTCACCTCCGAATTCTTTTTTCTCCCCTGCTTTTTTTCCCTGAGTATAACCAACAAGCGTAACAATAGCGCCGCAGTAATCACTTAACGAAATGCTGGCCCGGTTAACAGGGAGCAGGTAGCGTGGCTAAATGCCACAAAGGATGTGCGAGGGGGGAGGGGGGGCTGGAATACCCACCTTGAAGGGCTTGCTGTTGTCCAGCTGGGCGAAGTCCTCGTCGGCGGTGGTGGGCGACGGAGTGGGCGTGGTGCTGCTGTGCGGCGATAAGGCCAACTCCAAGGTGATGCTATCCGCCGCATCGTCCACGTCGGCATCCAAGTCGATGTCTTCGCAGTCCGCATCCAGTTCGGCCGTGCGTGTTAGGGTTCGTTGTCGTGGTGGAGGAGGAGCCACTACTTCAGTGTCGGCAGCACCACCTCCAGATCCTGCAGATCCTGCTCCTCCATCATCAGCTCCTTGTGGCATTCCAGCCGGCTTTGTCTCATCCGCATTCATTTCTGTCATTTATAATGCTCGTCTCGAAAGTTTTGCACGTCTTGTCTGGACTCCGTGGACTTCTCTCTGCTGTTTGGATGGACAAAACATGGTCGAGAAGTTTATGACAAGCAAAACAAATTTAAACGATAATTGAAACATTCTGTATGCGAATGTTCGGGAATGTTTCAAAGCTGCTGGAGCAAACATAATAAAACTGCCAGACTTTGTGTTATTGTTATTTCAGATGTGTTGTTTGCATTGAACAGAAAATTTATACCGAAAACGATGTTTGGCATTTGTTTCGGCTTTGATTTAAAAAAGTTTTTCAATTGGTAAAATTGCTCTGTGTAAAGGTCACAGAAATATATTGGACTTGACTAAAATAATGGTTCCTTTAAAATTGTTCAAGGTTCTGCAAACGAAAACAAATGCTCAATTTTGTTGTTAATTCAAAAATAGTACATCCTGAAGCAAATATTTCTAGTGTTTAAATGATTAATTATCCATTTCATGCTATGTAATGATATCAAGAGTATGTTTCATTGGCGGTTTATAATCTTTAAAATGGTTGATTAACCTTTCAAATAATATAATTAATAATAATAATAAAATTAACAATGGATATATTACAAATAAATTGTTTGTTGAATGTTAATTATGTTAAAATTAAATAAGATTAAGAAAATATTTTTGAATTTATCTTAGCTTGGTACTTAACATAATTTGATTTACTAGATGGTTGTGGAATCGCGTTATAAAGAACTGTTATTCATGTTTCATTTCAATCTCTTAAATTGGATTATTTCACCCACAAACTTATAACAAATTAATTAAACAAAAATAAAGGTACCAACTGCGTGAAAATTGTATTAACATATTGCGGCTTTGATTGCGTTTATTAATTTGTTGTAATTTTTGAAAGGCTCTCTGACACTCTTATTTTATGAATACTATTATAACCTTTATAAATTACTTTAAAATACTACACCAAGCCATCTTTCATTACAACTACTTATGTTATTATTCACTGAACCTTAACAAAACATTTTTATTCCTCATTACCTTGCACCTTAGCTTTTATGAACCGAATTCTTCACATTTTCATGAGGTACTCGACCATTGAGTTGCCGATAATTACAATACGCGATTTGAATGCGGATCGCGCGCCGCCGCTTCACAACAGCCAAGTGCAACAAAAGCCGGCCGAACTTGGAATAAATTGCCAGACGTCTGTGCGTGCTGTATTTAAACAAGCCACGACTCGTCGAATTTGCCGACAGCTTCGGCAATCGCAAAAACACACAGTGCAAAGTCAGGAGGTCCTGCAAACACACTGTGCAAAGTCTAGCCTTCGCCGAGCTTTAACCGTGAGAGCAGCAGCCCAAAAACACGGAGAGAGGATTCTGTTAAGACGCTGTTAACCAGGCCAAGCTGGGCGTGACGGGTCCAAAATATGGGTTCTACGAAAGCAACCAAAAAAACAAAACTGTCTCTGGGTTCCAGACTCTACGACCTGTAAAGTGGGAAAAGTTTACTGGAGCAGCTGCAAATAGTTCTACTTAGCCGGAACCACACAAACAAAAGACAAACAACACTGTGTACTATATATAAACGGGGCGTGCTAGGCAAATATAAATATTTCAGCCTGAACTTTCGGCGTAAGGGCAAAGTTTAAAAATGCAATAAAAATAAAGTTTGCAATTTTGGGCCAAAAACTCCAGGCGGGCAGCTGAAAAATGTCACTTCGGCATAATGAGACTACTGGCTGCATAATTAAAGGGCCGACTTCTGTAGGCAAAAAGTTTTGAAACAAAGGTGCATTGCTTTTGAGGGCGAGACAAAAGCCGAGATTTATTGGCATTTGCATTTGGTGAGAGGCGGGGGGATAGATAATGGAATGTTTAAAATTCATGAAATTCCCTCGCTGCATGCTGATCAAATTTGTTCGCTTTGGGGACAAACAAAAACCGCACAGCCATATTTATAACAGAGCTGGGCTTACAACCAGAAATATTGCGCATACGCCGTGTGATCCAAGGTTAATTTGATTGCCGGTTGCGGAAATCCAGAATTCCACATCGATTGCCAACGATGAGCACGTGATTGTCACTCTAGTCACGTGATGGATAATATATCTTTCGTTAACGCATTTAAGCCTTGCATTTCAATTGTCACAGTGCACGGCGTGCATATTTCGGCTGGAAGGTTTGTGTTTTTGGGCATACTCCGCACGCTCATCTGTTTATTCGCCCTTCTGGGCAATCATTTCCGCCCGCCATTTTCCATTTCCCACCTCCCATTTTCCCCCGGCGGGCGGGGCAAATAATTTATGGGCCGCGGTCCGCTAATTGTGCATCGGAGCGCGGTGCGAACAACTTTTCGCATATGCAGCAGAAGCAGCAGCAGCAGCCAAACCAGCATCGCCATCAATTTAAATGCATAGACGTCGGTGTTGCAAATTGAAATTTATGCGACTGGGCAGCAAGGTGAACGGGCGGCGCATTCCCTTCATCATCAGCTGCCGTGTTTAATTGCGATGCATGACCTTCGCAGTCTGGGCAGTTAGATTAATTAACTCACATGTCGTCGCAAAGGTCACGCTCTGGTCGCATGTGGTGATGATTAATGGGCCCTGATCCTGGCCGGACCTTTGGTATACGAAACGAATCCATGGCTATCCGTGGCACTTTCTCGCCCAAAAAATTCGTCAATAAAAACACAAGCGGTGCGGGTAAATGGCAAATATTTGCTGCTGCTGTCAGCAGTCTAAATGAAATTAAATGGGAAACAAAATGCCATTTCAATGCGGGCCGAACGAAAAATATGGCAAACATTTTAATTAAATTAAAATAAATGTGAAATGCGAAATAATGAAATAATGAAAGAAAACAAGTACTGACGCGTCGGCCTTGCTGGTATGTAACAAGCAATTACATTCCCTCTTAATGGCATACTTAATTATTTTGTGTGTCGAACGGGTTCTTTATTGGTACCTTCATGCGGGTGGCTATAATTGGTTTAATGGTTAACAAACCTGTGCGTATTTGTACTCAAACTTTATGGCTTAATAGCGCTGCTCGGCGTGAAACATGCAGTGCAGAGTACAGTCGAATCGCTGCTCGACCTGCCGACATTCGCTTGGTCGATCCACAAGGATGTTATTCTCCTCGAGGCAGTTGCGAATACATGGGGTGCTCCAAGGATGGGCCAACTTATTTTGCAACTCCTGCCAACTGGCTGGCATATCCTGCTGATCCTGTGAAAGGTCATTCGCCCGAATGGCCAGCAGGAAGAGCAGCTGCATCACGATAAACAAAACGCTTAATTTCATATTTGTGTTTGCCCAACTTACTTAAATTTTCATTACTGACAGCTGGCTCTTTGGCTACGGGTTTACTACACTCAAAGAAAAAATAGTTACAATAAAATAAACTAATTTTATAAATCATTACAAGCATTGCTATCTGTTGGCTGAAATTAAATTATAATTTACAAAGGCAAATCGGCTTTAATACAAAATATTTCTATATTTGTAATCTGCATTAAAAAAGTCAATTAATGAGGATTTAATTTCAGTATATGGTTAACCAATTCCTTTATTCTAAATAAAAGAAAAGTATGCATATAATTATATTTATGGAAATACAATCACCGGTGGCTATGTGGCACCCTTATTAAAAATTACTCAATCATTTCGATTTGATTGCAATATTTTTTTGGGTGTAGCAAGGCACACCCGTATCCGCAACCGTAATGACTTCCGGGTGGCAAAGGCAAACATCCAAATGAGGCAATCTAAGCACCAGTTTGCGGCTGCCAGCGGCTCTAACTGCACAATTATGGACCGCCCTTGCCGCCCACAAAGCGCGCTGATTTCCCCGCCCTCGCATATGTGGGCGAAAAGAGCCACGGGGCGCATTAGTGATGCCCATTGCGGCATCTATTACACAGCGCCTTGTTTATGTGCAGCGCAACACACATGCTCTCGAATAAAAATCAACAGCCTGCGGCGACTGCTTACCACTCTCCCCCCCTCTTCTCCTAAGGACATTCTGGCCCCTCGCCTTCCTATCCTTGACATTTATTTGGGGAAAATGTGTGTAAAAAAAAAACAAAAATGAAAAAACTAAGCAGCAAAAATTGTAGAGAATTATGTCCTCGTTGGGGAGAAAAGCGACTCGTTAGCCGACCCAACCAAGACTTCATTCGATATGTTGTTTATACAGCCACGCCCCCTGTTCGCTGCCGCCCCTCTGCTGTGAGACGTTTGACATTTGTGCTTTAAGGATATAGTGTTTGTATGCGCAACAAGCTTCGAATGCCAGATTACGGAAATACGATGATGAACGAATGTTAGCGAAATAAAGTGCTGAAATCTGATTTGATTTGCACTGAAATTAATCCACTGTCGAGAGCACGAAAAAACTAGAAAATCGAATGGTCAAATAAGCACAGGGTGAAAAAATAACAATATTATTTATAATGCTAGTTAATTGAAAGTCAATGGAAGTTAATAAGTCAATACATTTCTCTTTCAATTTTAAGCATATAACTTTTTTCTAGAGAAAGGTATAAACTTAAAAAAGATATTAAGAGAATTATATATTCTTAATTTCTTTTACTTAATTTTCATTTTTGTTAAGAACTTAGAAGGCATTGAAATGTATGACTTAACTCAAACAAACAGTATTTCGCCATTTACAAATAACTTTTCTACGAATAACACGTGTATACTAAAGGTAACATTTTTCAACACAAAAAGCCAACAAATTTTTTTTATTTATTATCAATTGTACATTACCATTTGCAGATAGTGTCACCAACTATGTATTCAGATGAGGTTACTCCAGAAATTGAGAAGCATCCTCATTGGGCACAGATGTTGATGGCATCGAGTCGCCGATGCCATTAACATCTGTGCCAAATGAGGATGCTTCTCTATTTCTGGAGTAACCTCATCTGGATGCTTCCGAAACTTCTGAGGAGTTACCTACTCCTGCACCCGTCAAGCTGCGCAGGAGCAAAAGGATTAAAAACCAAGAGGAGATTCGTGAAGAGGAACAAGCCACATCCTCTGAGCTGGAGGTTCAAAGGAAACACAGAAAGGTTGAGAAACCAAAAACTTTTCAATCCGAAGTTAACTGTGTTACTTGTTACAACTGCGGAATTGCCTTGAACCCTTTTCCGCCTTTGACTGAATTCTACCAATGCGCCGAGCTCAATGGCCGACTGTTCAGAATTAGACTGATCCCATCAGAAAATGTACTGGGCTCTGCTTACCGGAAGCAACCGCTAAAGCGGCTGACAAAAACCATTAAAAAATCTGGACCTCGAAAAGATAAACCAGCCAAGGAAGATAAGATTTCATGTTACAAAATTGTTTTTAGTTTGAATAGTACAACAAATGCTCAAGTTTAATATACAGTATTTTATATGGTCAAAGTCACTTTTTGTCTTTCTTTAAACACATTTTATACTATTTCAGAGCGTATTATAATTTCAGTCGAAGGTTTGCTACGCATCGAAGGACCCTATAAAGTAAATTGATCAGCATCACCATGCGATTTGATCTAGCCATATCTATCTGCCCGTTTCTACCCAAACTTGTCTCAGTTTTTAAGCTATGTCAAGTCAAAAACCTTACAAAAAATCAAAAGGGAAAATGAAATTGGTAAGTAAAAAATATAAAAAAAATCCTGTTTGATTTCTGTAAAATTATGTTAAATTAAACTTTGGTTTCGATTAAGTTTGGAACACGCTTTTCGGCACTTCTTTAATCTGCGACAAAAACTTCAAAGGAAATGCGAATTCAAGTGTGTGTGACAATTTCTTAGCCACACCTACCGCAAATGCCATCGCACATCAAAAGCACTCAAAAGCTGACGGTTTAAGGTTACATTTTTAATATTTTTGTGCCATTTCCGCTCGATGATTTTTCCCTTTTTCGTTTTTCCTTTTCGTAAAGCAAATAAAATAACAAAACAAGGCAGCGGATTTTGTTTTCTTTTTAAATCAAAAAGAGCAGTAAAAGAATGTGAACTGAAAAGGTTTTCACTGCGTTAATAAGGGAAATTACATATGCAAGAGCCACAGGAAAAATTCAATTCATCAAAGCCAGGGCCACGCCCACAAAGAGGGCGCTGCTGTGAGGTGCTGTCGTCATGAATTTGGGTCACCCGGGAGCTTTGAACTGTGTTAGTAGGGCAACGCAATCAGCTAGCCAGGACCTGCAGACGTCACGGCGAAGTGACGTCACGAAGAAAGTTGAATGCAGAAGAGAATGGTGTCGAGTAATGCAATTAGATGGCAGGACTCCCACTCTCTCGCTCTCTGGAGAAGGAAACTGAACGCCACTACTCGATTCTCTTTTGCCAGCGGAAGAGCAGGATGCATTCCATACGCCCTGTTGCACACGCTTTGTATGTTGCGCATACGCCCCGTTCGCCAAGACAAGTTAGTTCAATCAACTTTGCTTTAATATTCATTTATTTATTACTTGGTTTCGTGTATATAGTTTGCCTCGGGGTTGGTTTCTTGTATTTGCTGTATGCGTTTCACTATATTTAATAATTGTTTTCTGTTTGCATTTGGTTTTTCGTTTCTCGTTAACGGCTTCCCTTATTGCTTATTCGAATTGTAGACAGTTACCAACTTTAATTGGGGCAATTGCAATTTCCGTTATTGTGTTCTTTTATTGTTTAATTTGCTAACAATGTTTGCTGTTTGCTTAAATTCATTTGGCTATAGATTCGGGGGCGGGGAGAGGGGAAAGGACAGGGCAGCAGCAGCGCTGGAAGCATCCATCCGATCTGATCTGATCTGTCCCGAACCGCTCAAACCACGAAAAAACCTATTACACATAAATACAGTCAGTCTCAATTGGCCTTTAACGAATGACATTCACAATGGCATTGGTCTAAAAACAATTTTTGATGTGCGTTTCCATTCTAACTACTACTCGTAACACAATTTACACGGCAAGCAAATCAACAGTTTCCTGGGACGTTGCATATATGTATATCCATATCCATATCCATCCAATTCGGGCTCAACTCGGGTTTTATTTCGCCTACGCCTGGGGTTCTACCTCAAATGTAATACTTATATCGCTATCCTTTGATTATTATTCATGTGGCTTGTGTATATATGGTTAAATACGTTTCCTCTGACTGTGATTGCTAAAAGACTCTTCAAATCTGTGTGAACTCCTTCGCTTGGTGTTTAATTCTAGTACGTGTATTGTTCGTTAACTTTCATTTGCTCTTAGATACTATGAAGCATTCTCTGTGACTTTGTTTTCGCTTGATTTTGTCTTCGTTTCGTTTTCTGATTCCGCATTGCCTAATTACATGCTACAAATACGATTTATGTTAACCCAATGTTGCAGGACTGATGTCGTCGGTATATCCTTTTGGATCTTGATTTTGATTTTCACCTCCCTCAATCCTCTTCCATCCTCCGCCGGCAGACTTTACCTGAGGCTGCCCAGGATAGGCAGTCAGATGTCTCCGTTGGCATTTGGATTCCTACTCGGATTGGCATTAGCCTCATTGGCGGCTACTTCGGCAGCGGAGGATCCTCCGTTGATTCCATTGGCCGCGGAGCAAGTCGAAGTAGCCTCACCCACCGTAATCGTTATCGTCGTGTTCTGATTGTCGCACTGCACCACCTCGATGGTGCGGGTGTTGCTGGCCGTGGTGGTGCTCATCTGTCCGCTCTCCGCCTCGTTCAACTGGCGTCCGATCTCCCGGTCGATGGCCTCCGCATCCTCGGGATAGCGTTCCGAGCAGAAAATGGCTCCGGCCTTCAGGAGCTTCAACAAATTCAAACGATCCTCGGCATTGCGCTTTGCACAGAGCGGCCTATTAAGGGAAAAAACATAATTATTATTGGGGATATAAGAAATAAATAAATAAATTATGATAATCAAAAAGTAGTTTTAATTCCTATAATTTTGATAACAAGTAATTTATAGATAATAGATGCAATAAATATATGGACCCATTTCATAAATATCGCTTTTTTCTCATTTTTATCTTGAACAATAATCTAACTTTTTTTTCTTAGCAATCTACAAATAACAAATTTTGTAATTACTTCTTATAATTTATAAAATTTGGATTTTTTAGATGGTTCAAGATGATCAATAGAATATTATCCATCTTTATATTTAAAACACACAGACCAAGTTGAACGTTTATTAAACTCACCTTCCCGCATCCTTGAGCTGCTCCATAAACTCTTTGCCCGTAATGTCCACCAGCGAATTGGGATCCATGTTGGACAGTGAGTCCAAATCTGCGTCGTTCATCACGGACACGTTGCAGAGGTTGTTCTGCAGCTGACCCACCAACTGCCGGATACGAGCCGACTCCGAGTTGTTGGCATCGGTGGTGTCGCCCTCTCCGGCGGCAGGATCCCCGTTTCCGGTTCCGCCGTCGTTGCCATGTGGAGTGGTTATGGTCACGTAGTGCGTGGGCTATAAACAGAGTGGAGAGCAGCATTTAATTTAATCTCTCCTTCGGATTCGGTTTCATGGTCACGATGCTCTTTCACGGCATCCCAGGAATAATGCAATTAGTCATTAAGACAGAAAAAAGGAGGCACAAATTAAATTAATTATCCCATTTCACTTAAAAAAAAAAAGAAATTACAAATTTGAAAAATAAAATAATATTAATAATAAATAATAACGATGAAGTTTTAATAATTTACATCAATATAATTTATAACTTTTGTTTATTTTAGACAACCTTATTTATAGTTTTCTATAAAGTTAAAAAGTCTGGGACGAAAAAAAAACCAATAAGCCAATAAAACAAATGTTGTTAAATCTACTAGCCACTGAAAGCTAAACCATTGAAATGTGTAAACCATTTAGGTAATCTTTTTTCTCAGTGCTACTCACATCGATCCAGTGCTCGCCGGGGAAAACGGCCACCAGTTCCGTGTTCTCGTCGAGGGTGCGGAAGTACTCCTCGTCGTCGATCTCCGTGCCGTCGGAGTCCAGGTGGATGGTGGGCAGGTGGTCGGACTTCTCGAACTTCTCGGCCACCTTGCTGCGAATCTCCTCCAGACTGGAGGCGCAGACAGCCTTCTTAATGTTGCGTGTGACGTCCTTGACCTGGCCGTAAAAACGAGAGCCGTAAAGGAGAAAGGGAATAATAAACCATTACACGTTTACAATTACGGAAACAGAAGCAGTAACAGTTACACATGGCCCCGCTTATCAAATGAATAATAAATTAATGTCAGAGGAGGAACAACTGTGTCTCTTATAAAATATTCACAACGTCGGCACCCAAAATAAAAACAGAAAAATGCTGAGATGGGAAAAGTTATAAATTTACTTCAGGCTGAACCCTTTTTTTTTTGAGCAAGCAACGTGAGCTGAATGGCGAAAAGAAACTAACGAAACTTGCAGCCCCATTTCACTCAAGTTCCCTTCATTTGCACTTCATTATTTAGACTTTTTCGGCTTTCAATTATACATTTGCATTGCTATAGTTTTTTAATTAAGCACTCTTTATAAATTCAATTGAGAAAAAGCCAAAGAAAACAATACTATTTGCAAAATAAATAATAAACAACTACGTTTCGAGGCAGATTGTTTTCCATTCCCCACAAAAATCACAATGAATAATTGAGTCGAATATTTGCGCCCACGTCATGTCCTGCTGTCAAATGTCCATTTGCTCTAATTGTGATTTATGGACTGTTTTATATTTCCCCTGTAGAGATGTCACCTTGAAGCAGAACCCGCAATTCAACTTTGTCAATATTTCAGATGCGAGTTTAGAGATCTGTGTGCACTTTTCTATCTCAAGAATTTGAACGCAGTTTGACATGCACTCGTCCGACTGCGGCGCAAATATTTGTCGTTTATTCCCCCAGCCCCCGATTCCTTGCCATATATCCTTTCCTTTCCTTGCCTTTTTTTTTTTTGTGTGACAAGTTATGCCCGTCAGCATTTTGCGCTGCTTGCTCCTGCGCGAATGCCATAAGTGAGTGCTGTGCTATGTGTGCAAGGACGAAGTCTTTGCCAGGCTCTATTAAACTTGCATGCGATGTTAAATGATGCCTCAGCACTAAGGTTAAACGAAACATAAATTAGACCTGGCCAAAGGGGCAGGCAGCCAGCTAGGAGCCAGGAGCCAGGAGATGGATGCTAAAGGAGCGACCGGCACGACTGCATTCCTCCCAGAATTTATAGCCCCGAAACGCCTGGCACCGTGCAACTCCTTGAGGCCCTTATAAATAATTGAATGCGCCGTGACTAAATGAAATTGTACTCAAGTTTGCATTTCGAACATTTTATTTAACTTATTCCTAGCTGCTCTTTCAGGCCATTTTCTCCAGACAACTCAGGCGTCGTCATTAAATTATCTTATAAATGCTTAAAGCCAGCAAACTTTTGTGCTTCGCCAGCGCCAAATATTAATCATATCATGCCGGTTGGGGGGGGTGGTGGAAAAACTTTGTAACAATGAAAACTTCGGCGAACTACTAAAGCATCAGACAAGTGGGAGACGCGGTAGCATCAAAAACAAAAGCATAGTTTTTGTTCGGAAACTTGTCAAAAGTTCTAGTTGATCGCATTAGTAGATTTTCTCAAGCAGCGCTGTCCATTTTGCTGTCGGGTTGCAATTCAATTAGCAGTTTATTTTATTACCCTCATAACAATACCGCTAAAAAGCAAGATTTTCAGAAAATAAACTTAGCTCAAAAGTTTTTCAACACAATACAAAACATGCTAGATGATTAGTCCAGGCAATTCTGCATTGGCAGAAGAGGTCTTGAGTTTTATTAATGAGCAACACACATAAAATTATATCTTCAACAAACCAACTTTCTCTAGATTAACTGATTTGTAATACCCACAAAAACTTGATTAAGATATCATAAATTTCTCCACATATCCTTCTTTGCAGACATAAGGAAATCCAAGAAACAAAAACTAAACGTTGAAATGTCCTTTTTGTTACTTTTATATAGAAAATAGCCTCCCTTCGAAATATTTATCCCTAAACATGCAGTCTACTTTACATGCAACATTAATTGAATCATTCAAATTAGTTGTAAGCCCCTGCTTTTGGGAGTGTTTGTGAATGAACAACTGTATGTTAAACCGATTTGAACAGATTGGAAAAACAGCTGCAAGCTGATAGCTTTTAAATCACGACCAACTCGAGCTGCTCAGCCTTCAGGACCCCAGGGTCCTGGCCAACACTCACGTGCAACGACCTCCGTCGTCTGGCTCACTTCAGAATCAGCCGAAGGATACGTGCCAGGGATTCTATTCATCTGCATCTTAGACCAAGCAGGATACACAAGTCGCAGGACTTTTAAATATTTGATGGGCGTAGGCCGCCGATTTTCGGGTCGCAGGGGAAATTAGGCGACAACTTTAAATTGCTTTTCAACTATGCCCTGGCATTATGTAAATTGTTTAATAAATTATTAACAAAACGCTTGGCGGGGCGTGGGCGTTTGCGTGGGCGTGGCTTCTGGCTAATTACAGCGACATGTCGGGATGAAAAGTTTCCGCTTTTAATGGCATTATCATGGCTGCCGAGGTATTTGACAGCTTTTAAGCCGATTTGTGTTCGGTGGTTTTTGAATTAATTATTTTAATAAGCAGAGACATTTTAATGGAAATTCCAGGCATTTGCTAAGCAAAGTTGAGAAATATATTTTACAAAAGTTGTTTTTCGTTATCCACAGACAATTTTAATAGGTTTGTGGTTTTTTGGTTTCTTTTGAGTTGTGAACTGCATGATGCCTAAGTTTGTACTTGTTGTGGTTCTTAGCAACCATGAGCACATTTTTAAAATCCTGTGAATCCTTTAAACAGCTTTCTGTTGTTTAAGCGGCAGATAAACAAATTAGTCGGGGAACAAAGGCCCAGCAGACAAGTAAAACAAATGCCAAAAGCAAACAATTCCCAATACTCGAATGAACATCAAAAACAAAGTAGACAAATACAAATACAAATAAAAATACAAAGAAAAAAAGACAAAGTAAAATAAAATACAAAGAAAGTATGTGATTTTGCAAAGTAAAATTTAAGGAAGTAATGGCCTTTTACTGAGCTTTTGCCACTCTCTTTATATCGAGCTTTTGGCCCTCTTAAACAAATTTCTCTTTGCTTACACTCAGAGCAACTTGAAGTTCAACCCAGTTTCCATTAAGAAAAAAAAAGAACGCAGCACGCGGCCAACAACAACAAAAGCGAAAACAACAACGCCCAAAAAGGGCATGGCAGGAAAATAATGCATGCTTCAAATGCCTTTGTTTGCATGGTGGCTTTTATGATATTTTAATCATAACATAAACTCACTTTGAATGGCTTTTTGGAGTCGCCTAAATTCGCTGCACTCTCCATGGCTTTGTTTGTTTCAACTAAATTATTAATACACTCTAGCTATGCACTTAAAATCCAGCCTTAATTGCTCAACATTTCATTATATTTTTGGTGTTTCCCTTGGTTTCAGATTGTTCTTTTTGTTTGCACTGTCTCACTTGCACATAGTATTTAAACAAACAAACTTGAAATTCCTGCACTTGAAATGGGAATTAAATATATTTTCTTGGCTCCGCAGTGGAGCTTTTGATGCGAAGAGCGCCGGTTTTGAAATGAGCGCGTGCTGCCATGGAGCACTTGCTTTTATAAGCTCCCCTTTATATTTTACCCCCATACTGTAAACCCACTGTTAACCTTATAGTAAAATGTTAAAAGTTCTCTTACCTGATAATATTCCATTTTTATTAAAAGCTGGATAGTATACTCCTTTAAACTATAGATTGTTATAAAAAAATGATATCCCATAAAACTGTAAACTTTAAATACAGCTTATATTTGAAGTTAACAGAAAAACCATGAATATTACAGCGTTTTTTTAAACAAAACTTTATTTTATTGATATGGAAACTTTTATGCCTTAAATTTTATTAAAATAATAAATGAATTTAAAACAAAAATTGAGTTTTTAAAAAATTCTAAGATTATTAAAATAATAATTTAGCAATAGCAACAGAGCTTACAAAAGAGCGAATGAACATAAAACAAGCGTTAAAAACAAGTCCTCTCTGCTGACTATGTTGCCAACATTTTCCTGTAGTCAAGGTTCTAGGAAATTCAAAGAGTTTGCTAGAACAATTCTGGCTGCAAAGTTTACTGGCCTTTAATGGAAAAATGTGAAAGTCTAAGCCCGGCAATAATCTCCATTTCAATCAAAAGGTGCATTAGATTTCAATTGGTTCATTGGGTCCGGGGGAATCTTATCAGCTCAATGATATCCGGTGTTGTCAATCCAGTGTCCTTTTCCCCTTTGGAACCCGCCCAAAAGAGCAGCTAGACTACGCTTAACTTTCTGCTCAAGTGGCCAACACCCATTTAAATCCATATACATCTATTGCTATGCACACATCAACGAACCGTCCAGATAAAGAAGAGCAAAAAGCAAACTTTTGACAAATGGCCAAAATACATGAAAGGAAAGCCAAAGCCGGAAAGTGGCCCCATATTGAGTTGAGCTGAGTTTATGCACTGGGAGAAGGTCTTTTTCAAAAAGTTTTATCCTCGCAATCATCAGAGCCTTTTAATCCTTGATTAAAAAATTATTTAAATGTTAAGGAGTGATTCAAACTTATTTAATTAGAGTTCCTCAATATATTTTATGACTATAATTCAATGCAAAACTCCTTTATACAAGACAATTCTTCCAGATTATACTCGGAATAAAATGTTAATAAAATTTAAGTTAGTGATATTAACGTCTAAATAATATAGTTTCTAGATGAGAATATTTATACAAGTACTTTTTAACAGAAAATATCCATTTAATATGAGTAAATTTCACCGTTTGCATTATTTTTTTCCATGCAGAACGGAACTGAATAGCCCGGAATAGAGGTGGGTATATAAGCGAGGGGGATCGGAGATGGGGGCAACCTTAAATTGTCATCATTGTGCGCGCCATCGGTTCCTCTGATGCTCCTTCTGCTTCTGGCAGTTTGCCCCGTTTGCTGTCATTGCACTGCATATAGTGACTAAGGATCCAGCGAAAGGAGCAGCAGGGGGAGGAGCTGGGACTATTTTAAGCACAGGTCACTTGAAAGGACGCACAAGGACATTGGCTCGTGTGGGTGGCTGTGTCGTAAACAGTTCGCAGGTCACGTGCATGCACCGCGGTGCATTGACCACGGAGACGTTGACACAGCGGCCGGAATCTGGGTTGAGGCTTCCCTCGAAGCCAGGTGACAGGTAATTGCTACTCGGGGCAGCAGGCAATAGGCAATGCCGAGGGAAGCCAATAAATCAACGCCTGACAATATTGTTCACCTGCCTTAACCCCATGTGTAACTAAGGAGCAGTTCCACAACATGTCGTTTAATTTGTGCTGCTTCGTAATGAATGGATTTTAACTAAGATTTAGGATAGGTCAGTATATCATAGGAATATGCATTACCATTGTCAAGTTAAATTTTTGAATTTAAGCCTATTTATCTCTCTTTAATAGTTTGTAGTTAACAAAAATTTAATCAAATGAAATAAGAGCTCAATTAATTTGATTTACACAATTAAACACAAGAGATTACAAGGGCCAAATTCATTAAACTTCTTTCTCAACAGCTTATTTGTGTTCATAAATCGTTTTTCCCGGCACAGACATTGTAAATTAGGCCTAAAGCTGTTGCCAAACAAAAAACAGACACAACTAATTATCCTGCGCGCCTTAAAAAAGGGATAACAGGAGCGATTTAACACGGCTAAGTCCTTTTTGTTACAGCTTAGAAGTCCTGTAAGGCCACAGAGCTCTGCTAAATAAAAGCTATGTCGTTAACAGGACCTCGTTAAAATTTAAGAGGGGCTTTCTACCGCTGACTTCGGTTGAACCTCTTCACTTTGACATTTGCTGCTTGGTCATGGTAACCTTATGAATATGTAGTAATTTACTCAATTGCGACGGGCTTCGTAGACTTTTTAGTGGATTGTCGTTGGAGCACAACTTAATGGTTGTACTAGTTGATGAACTGTTTTAAAATACATTTGAGCACTATAAAAACGTACAGGACATAATAACAAACATTTTATTCGGTTTCAGGCATTTCAATCTCATTAATAGTTCTCCAAAATCATTTTGGGCACCACATTCATGCTGGTTAGCTCCTGGAAGAGCAGTTTGCAGGCGTACGGCATGGATATCTTGGAGACATGGGCCGACGACTGGCAGAAATGACACCAAGAGCAGTAGGCCAACCTGCCGCAGGTCCGGCAAACATCCACCTCAAAGGCATCAGACGAGATCATCAGACGCTCCATGATCAGCATACTGGCTCCGTAGGAGATGAGACAATCCCGCTCCATTTCACCCAGACGCAGACCTCCCTCGCGACTCCTGCCCTGCGTTGGCTGCCGGGTGAGCACCGCCTTGGGTCCTCGGGCACGGGCGTGCATCTTGTCCTGCACCATGTGCTTCAGCTTCTGGTAGTACACGGGTCCCGAGTAGATGTAAGCCTCCAAAGGCGATCCGGTAATGCCCGAGTAAAAGAAGTCCTTGCCCACGTAGTTGAAACCATGACGCTCCAGCTCCGCCTGGATGTCCTCCACCTTGGAGCCTCCAAAAGCAGTTCCATAGTGGAACTTGCCCTCCAAGAGACCAGCCTTTCCGCCGAGCAGCTCCAGAGTTTTGCCCACCGTCATACGAGAGGGGAAACCATGGGGGTTCATAATCATGTCCGGGCAGATGCCATAGTCATTAAAGGGCATGTCCTCTTGCTCAACAATCAACCCGGTCACACCTTTTTGGCCGTGCCGCGAGCTGAACTTGTCCCCGATCTCGGGAATACGCGTCTGGCGCAGCAGGATCTTGATAAGGAAGTCCTCCTCGGCATTGGCGGATACCATCACGCGTTCAATGTAACTGGGCTCCGGTCCTTTATAACTAATGGGAACTGCGGTGTAGGGAACCTGTGGGGATTGACCCTGCAGCGGATTCATCGAAGTCACCGCCGGCATCTCCTTGTTGATCATGATCTGTTTGTTCAGAACCTGCTCGCCAGGTGCCACAATTCCATCGGTGTCCAGGACGTCGTGCTTGAAAATCACCTTGTTGGTAAGCGCATCCTTTACTGGGCCCATGATTCTGTCGAAGGTCTGATTAGCATAACGCTTCACCGTGCACTTGGAGTTCTTGTAGACCAGGCAGCGTCCATAACCACGATCTATTGAAGCCTTGTTCAGGATCAGAGCATCCTCAATGTCGTAACCGGAGTAACTCATCACGGCCACCGTGGCATTCTGACCCGCCGGCAGTTTGTCAAAGTTGGTCAGCTCAATCGTCTTTGATTTGACCATAGGAGCGTGGGGATACACCAGGTTGTACATAAGCGAGTCGATACGGTTCTTCTGGTTGTACCCAATCATTCCCATCGCCTGTTTACCCATAGCACACTGGTATGTATTCCTGGGACTTTGGTTGTGATGAGGATAGGGCACCAAGCCCGCACAGACTCCTAGCAAAGTGAAGGGTTCGATTTCCAGGTGCGTAGTCCGTTCCTCGATTTGCTGTTCGTTCCAGGCGATAAAGGAATCGTTCTCCTCGTTCACATCTAGATACTCGATTAGTCCGTCCAGAAGAAAGTCGTCAAATTTGCGAATTCCCCGGTTGAGTTCGTCCAGGTGATGCTGCTTTACCAGCGGACGACGGTTCTCCACGATAACATAGGGGCGGCACAAACGACCGCCATCCGTGTGTATATAGATGCATCGCTGGGTGTAGGATGTGTGCACGGACACGTAGCTGCCCATTCGACCCTTTCTGCGCATGTATCGAAGGTTCCGCACCAGGTGCTTGTGATTCAGAGTGAGTCCCAGCACATTACCATTGATAAAGACCAGAAAGACATTCGGATTATTAATGGGATTGCCGCTCACTTCTCGAATGTCCTCCACGCCAGCATTAAAGGCCACAATCATCACCGGTCGCTCCTCCACTTCAGTGGTAATGTGCGTCATGAGGGCCAGATTTTTCACCAGACCACAGGCCTCACCTTCGGGCGTATCCGAGGGACACAGCATTCCCCACTGACTGGGCTGCAATGATCGCGGACCAGACACCTTTCTCGTTTTCTCAAACTGCGAGTTCACTCGGGTCATCATTCCCAGGGCGGATATATAACTCAGACGAGATAGCACCTGCGTTACTCCAGCTCTTTCCATCTTAAATCGCTTGATGGTCCAGTTTCCAGAACTAATGGCGGACTCCAATCCCGCAGTGATTTGCGCCGCCCTCATGTGCTTCACCACATCGAACTGCGCTGCCTTTACTTTGGGTATATTCTTGTCTGCAATGGTCTTCAGCTCCCAGTTCATGCGCTTGAACAGATCCTCGAACATCATGGAGAGCAAAGAACCAGCCAGCTCCAAGCGTTTGTTGCCGTAGTAATCGCGATCGTCGAAGAGTGTTTTGTCCAGCTCAGCTGCCATGACACGACGAACCATCATGGACACATAGATGGCCTTCATTTGGAAGTTAAAGTTGTCCACAGGCACATGAGCCAGAATGGTGGTTAACAGCAGCTCGCGGGCCTCTTCCGAGGGCGTTTTCGTGGTGGCACTTTGAAAGCGCTTGACCACTAGTTTGGAGCCTGAAAAGAGGTAGTGTTAAAAGAAGAATTCTTGGAGTGGAGCATACAAACTTACCCATGTACTCCAAAGCTCTTTGCTGGGTGAAAACTTTAAGGTTAAAGGCATCGAGCAGGGAGGCACCAAACCTGTTCTGCGACTTGCTGTCTATGCCAATAAGCGACTGGATTTCCTGGTCGGAGACCACTCCTAGGGCCTTGAAGATCACCACAATAGGTATGTCGTCCGTCATAGAATTGTGCTTAAGATAGTACTTTCCATGCTTGCTCAGCACCAGTGTACGGGACTTCTTTTCATGCGTGGATGAGGTGACTTGGCACTGCACCACACCGTTGAAGTCCTCGGTCAGCATTTTGTTCCAGGACAGCTGCTCCTGGATGAGGATGACCTTCTCCTGGCCGCGGACCACAAAGTAGCCACCCGGATCCAGTGGACACTCATTCAGTTTAGACAGCTCAAACTCGGACTTTCCTGTGAGGGCACAATTGGAGCAGCGCAGCATGAGGGGCATCCTGCCGATGAGCAGGTTGTTCCGTTTGATCCGCTGGGTGCCCCGCGTATACTCGATGTCCACGGTGATGGGGGCAGAGTATGTGGTATCCCTCAGGCGGCATTCGTGCGGCGTAGTCGCCTTTGTGATGTTGAAACCATCGTCGATGTCCGGCTTGCCCACCCGCACGTCCAGGTACTTCAGGTAGAACAGCGGATCCGCTCCACTCGTAACCAGCTCGTTGGCCTTTACAATCTTCTTGATGTCCACGTTGATGAAGTGGTTGAAGGAATCGATGTGCTGCTTCACCAATCCTTTCACCTGCAGGAATGCCGGCACAAGTTTCCACTTCTCCGCCAACGGCTTGATGGGCATCGACCAGTCCTTGCTATCGCCGGGCTCCCAGGCTGTGGCCTCCACATTGTGATCGCCCATCTTCAGCTCCACCATTCCGCTTAATTAATAATTTAATTTAATATTAAGCGAATCCAAACAAAACAGCGTGCACTTTGGTTCAGTGTTGGTAAGGGGATTTAAAATTAATAGTGCTGACAGTGTAGCTTTTATTACCGCCAAATCTGTCGGTTTTCTAATAGCTTTATTGCGGGAATATTTAAAATATGTATCTTTACCCTTGCTATTTTAATTAATTCCATTGATAAATTTAAGTTTACTTATTCTCCCAAACGAATTTATGCGTTCAACGAGTTCGACCTTTTTTACGATTGGCTGAAATTTAAAAGGATGGATTTGTTCACGTACTTTACAATTTAAGCACAGAATGATTGTTTGCAAATATACAAAACCAAAGAATTGGCAATTGATGGCTGTTTGAATATTTGTTTCTATTAAAACTCTGTAATATCGTCAGCTAATTTGGGTTTTATTCCAACTTAAATCATCAAAAATTAGAAAGGAGATAAAGCACATTTGTTTTTTATTTTCAAATAAAAAATGCCATCGTATGATCAAAGTGTAATCGTTGCACAGAGTCTAGACCTTCTTCACAATCTGTACGACATCCTCGTCGTTGAGAACATGTTCAATGCCCACTTTCTGCGGCTGATGCTTCACGGACGAGCCCCAAACCAGCGCACTAAAACGAGATAAAAATGTCAAAAATTATGTAAAGATCTGGATAAGCTCAACTCACTATTTAAACTCCTTGGCAATGGAGCGATGTAGCTTGTTGCAAAAGTCCTCAATGCTGGTGCGCTCGTTGTGAAGCACCACGGGTGAATTGTAGTCGGGCAACTGGCCCTTGGGCTTGGTGTAAATTCGCTGCAGTCGCAGGTATTCCCACATCAGCTCCAGCAGATCGTCAAAGTTCCAGTGGTGGTGCGCCGAAATGGGCACGCAGTGCGGGATCTTGTAGATGACGTCCAGCTCCTCGATGGAGATCTGATCGATCTTGTTCAGTAGATAGATGCAGGGTATATAAATGCGGTTTCCCTCGATCACATCGATCAGATCATCACTGGTCGCATCATATCGAAGGGTAATATCCGCATTGTGTATTTTGTACTCGGATAAAATGGTCTTCACCAGATCCGAATCCAATTCAGATTGGGGAACCATGCTGTTCAGGTTAATGCCGCCCTTGTCCTTCCGCTTGTAGTAGATATTTGGAGGTTTCTTGTTCAGCCGGATGCCAAAGCCCTCCAACTCATGCTCGAGCAGCTTTTTGTGACCCAGCGGTTTCAGGCAATCCAGCACCATGAAAATCAGGTTACAGGTGCGAGCAACGGCTATCACCTGACGACCACGACCCTTGCCATCCTTGGCGCCCTCAATGATTCCGGGCAGATCAAGCAACTGGATCTTTGCGCCCTTATACTTGATGCATCCCGGCACAGTGGTCAAAGTTGTGAACTCATAGGCCGCCACCTCGGAGTAAACGCCTGCCAAATTGGACAGTAAAGTGGATTTACCCACGGAGGGAAAGCCCACGAAACCCACTCGGGCATCTCCGGTCTTGGCCACCTCGAAACCAGCTGGAATAATCGATTTGTTACTGATTGAATAGAGATTGTGCTTAATATCTCACCTTCGCCGGTTCCGCCGCCACCTCCTTTCGGGGAAATCAGCTCGCGTCGCAGCTTGGCCAGTTTCGCTTTCAGCAGACCCAAATGCGCCGAGGTGGCCTTGTTCTTCTGGGTTCGGGCCATCTAAAAAACCGAGATTATCCAAGAATCCCGGGGAATCAAGAGGAGTCCAGGGGGAATCCGCGGGGGAATGGATACAAGACAGGTTAGTTTCTGTATAACCGACTGCTACTCTATGAACCCACTCACCTCCGACTCGATGGCCGAGATTTTCTCCAAAATTGTGCTCATGGCTGGCTGGCAGTTAAAGGCGGTCCACTAAAAACCCAAATTATCAACAAATATGCATGTAAAAATAAAAATATAAAACTCTCGCGTGGACAGCAGGCGACAGTGTGCAAAAGGAAAGAAAAGCTGGCCAGTGGTGACCAACACTGCATTTGCTTGGTGTATTTTAAATTCTTAGTATTTTATGGTATTATTTAAACGCAAGGATAGGGCCACTTCGATTGGAACAAAACCGTTACCGCTAAAATGCTTGCAAAAGGTAACAAAGATAAATTAAATATTTTAAATCATTGAATCATTTATTTCCCCCGCTCCAGGCAAACCTCGAACACCTTCGGTTAACAGCCATGCCAAATTCAAGAGTCAACTGGCCAACAATGTCTCGCAATTGAATCTGAGCTTTCCAACGGCCGCTCAACTTGTGCGTAAAAATAACAGCCAATTGCGCCAAACGAAATTAACTGTCTGCCAGAAGGACAATAAACTGAAGTACGAAGGTTTCGTCGAGGAAGTGCCCAGATTTCGGGCAAAGCAGGAATTTGTCTACGTTCCAACTCCAAAAGCACTGGAAAAGACCAGTTTCGTGGTCAACGCCAAAAAGGAGGAACCAAAAGGGTTGCCAGGTGATCCGATGTCTAAGCCAGGACGAAATTTAATTAGTTTGGTCGGACGCGTGGATTTCTGCCTTAAAACCCATAAAATGTATCCCGATATTAACGCCATTTGGAACGTTTACGGTGGGTTTATATTTGTCTAATTTTTAAACTTTTTATTTTGATTTTAAACAAACTTTGATAATATAAGGTTCGATTTTATAAGTAGTTTCTTCCTTTAAACCAATCTCTAATTCCCAATCTTGAAACAAGAAATTGTAAGTGTGGTTTACATGATTTTTTGAGTTATAAAATTGTTAATAAAAAAAGAACCAACTTTAAAGTTTCCATCGAAAATTTTTTAAGGTCTTATTCAATTTTGACAACATAATTAAAGTTGGTAAATTTAAGTATGATTTTACTTATTGTTGTCTTAGACATGATCTTCAAAAGTTAAAAGATTGTTCTGTTTTGAAATCGATCTTAAATTAAATTAAATTAAATTCTAGGAAAACTTCTCCGCATTATTGAGGGAAAACGGGGAGAGCATACTTTGCTGGTGCGAAACGAAAATTCTGGACCCATCCTTCAGGGAATCTACTATGATTTTGAAAGTGTTTTGAAATCTTGGAGCCCAGGCAAGTTGAAAAGATCTTTTATTCCAATGTTAAACCCCAATTCTGACCCATTTACAGGCTGTTTTGTTCATCTTGTGGGCCGATTCATTAACGAGAATCGTTTGCAAACGTTCAAGATCGCTCAGGTAAGCGATATCGACCGGCAGCAAGAATTTATGCGCATAGAAAATGTGACAAATTATATTCTGATGCAAAACAAGGTGCATAAGTAATTTATATTTTAGTAAGGTATTAGCATATACAGTTTTCTCGAGATTGTTAGGCCAGGCGATAATATTTTCTCTATAAGGTATAAATATGTTAACTTTAGCTTTTCTGGCCTAACCTGAAATCCACAGGGAAATGTTTCATTTTGTACTTTTATAGTTTTGATATTTTGAATAATTTATAGAGTGTAAGTAAGTAACTTATAATTAATGTACCAAGGAACTAAGTTATCTTCAAAGTGCCCTTTAACATTTCTCTTCAGGAGCATTGCACAGTTACGAGGACTACAATAAATACAAATTCCAAAGTGGCCGATTAAATTCTAATACTGTTGAGCTTATTTGACTAAGAGGAAGGAATTGGGGGGCTCCGTTTTACGAGTACAAATCGAAGTACATGAAGACCGTGACCAGAAATCCGCAGAACAGAGCACACAAATATCCCAAGTGCAGCGAGGCGGTCTTCTCCTCGCGGAAACTGCAAATTGAGAAAAGATAATATGAATAATAACTAATGAAAGGCCATTCCTCTGGAGCTTACCGCTTCTTGGAACGCGGCGTGAAGGGCGAGGGCGGATTTACGCCGGGCACTGCACTGTCCAAGTACACAATTCCGTACGCGAATGCGGCCACCAAAAGGCCACACAGCAGGGGGCTCAGCCTGGAGCCCAGTTGGTGACTGGTGGCCCACACCAGGGTATCGTTCCACCGACTCTGCACCTGGTGGCTCATCACCTGGATGGAGTCGCCGCTAATGTATGGCACTGCAAAGAGAACACACAGAGCTCGTTAGTATCTCAGTTTGAGGGTCGTTCTATTGATTTCCGTGTTATCAGTCTTGGCCCGATAAACACGTCAAAAAATAAGGTTTATAAAGAGGGTGGTTCGAAAGTACTTGCAGCAAATGCAAACCTTATTCAATAATATCAACAGAAATTTTAAATGATTCTGGAATAACCCTTACTGTTGAGAAAGGTCAATTTCAATGTTTGACCTTTCAATGTAATGGAAAACTGTTAAAGATTAATGAACCTTATTTCATTTATCTATGTTTTTTTCGAGCCACCCTAATGCAAACCCTACACCAAACTAACGGCTAGATTGCTGAATCGTCAGAATAATAAATTCGTTACTTTTACTGGGCTCTCTAGCGGTACCGCCTTACTTATATGTATTTATGTATGTGTCGCGTGACGAAAACCCTAGAGCTTAATACCGTTAAACCTAACAAAGACGATTGCTTAATCACCGTAGGGCAAACAATTAGCTAACTAATCACTCTCTGCTCAAAAGATGAAGCAACTAATCACTCCTTAGTCTGTTTTTTTTAAGGTGAATACGTATGCAAATGAGAAGGCTAAATGCGCAACAAACATTTTAACGTTCTCTATATAGACTTATTCGCTATTTGGGGGGTTATTGCAGGGGGAATACTGAATAAACACTGCCGCTATGAGATCACACGAACTTCAACTATTTATAAACGAAAAAATATAAACAAAACGAGTGAAGACGTCGTCACCGCCGACAATTGCAACCTTGAAAATTCCACCCCCGCGTATTGCAGGGGGTATTTGTATAAATAAATAGAAATCCTATAGAACAGCACCCACAATATAACCCACTTACTGGTTAAAATGACGCTTTTGTACCCAATAATGAGAATGCCAAAGAGAAGGGCCACTTTTTTGATCAACGGATCGAAGGCGGTCACCACGCCCACACGCCCCTTTTCTGAGGGCTCCGGTACGCCTACGTAATGCTGAAGTTTTGGATGATGAGAGGTTTTCGGCGTGGAGGTATATCTCGGTCCGTTCGGTTCCCCGATTATTTCGCTTCTGACTGCCGTCGAGAAAATCCCATTGGTTTTGTTATTTTTCTGATGTTGGCGAACCGTGACGTCACCGCCTATTGTTTTTGTTTCCACCTGCATTTTGTTGTTTTGCCGGTCAAACGATTGTTTTGAATAAGAGTTCTTTGTATAAACGGCCTCCCGGGAACACGATTCACTTTGTATTTACCACGACAATTGTTGCTTTAATTTACAATATTACAAAAACAAAAAATAATACGTCACACCCCCATACAAAAACATAGCAGAAAATGCAATTGGAACTAGTGGTGGGAAAGTATACATTTGTTGCACCATGAACTATCGAAGTCGCCTATCGATAGTTCGCTAGTGGCCGTCGAGTTCAAACTATCTTTAACCCTTGTTGACATTTTGGTCAAATTTTTATATGTCGGCACTTTTGAAAATAATTTCATTTTGCAACAATTGCTTTGAATTTAATACATACCATTTCAATAAAAAATCGTATGCATCTTTTTTTTTTAAAATGAAACACACAATCAAAAAATATAGAATGCCATAATCAAATTAATTAATCATCATTTTTAAAAGACTACATTTTTTTCTGGATATTTTATTTTTTCCCCTGAAAAAGAAATGTATAGTTAATTTTAAACATTAAAATAATAATCATATGTTTATTTGTAATTGAAAAACAGTAATAATAGTTAAATGTACATTTTTTAATTTTAAATGTGTGTGTATTTATTTTATCATTATCTTTGTTATGTTTTCGATCCAATCCTTACAACATTTTCAATTTTCTTTTTCAATACATTTTCAATGCATTCTTGTCGACTCTAATGCGGTATGTGTATGTAATATGAATGATGTATTTTATATTAACTAAAAGTTAACTGCGATCATAGAAAAGTTAATTTTAATTTCTTAATAAGGCTCTGTTTACGTTTTCATTACTTTCTCCCTACTTCAACTAATGCGCGATATACTTTCCTTAAATTATTCGATATTCAATGAGGTCTACAACTAAAGGTAAAATAAAAGAATAGGACACTTTAAAAAACAGTGTAAAACATTAAAATTGATAAATAATTACTTTTACATTGATGTTTTTAACAAATTGAACGACACAATATCTGATTGTTGTTTTTGGTCTATCTCACAAATTGAATATGGTACAAACGGGATGCAAAATTGAATAATCCAAATTTTGGGGGTTTAAGTATGATCAGCTTGGTGTAGGTATTAGGTAGTGTCGGTTTAACAACTATCGTAGATCCCCTACGTCTTAAATATTTAGTTAACTTAGGCGCCTAGACTAACCGTAACTAAACTAACAAATATGCGCTCTATCCAGATTGATGCAGTTCCTCCAGCCTTTATGATTTAACTGAGGAGGCTCCCGCGCGCGTTCTTTTGGCCATGGGCTCTGTGGTGTCGGCCGCTCGTATATTGTCGAACAGGTTATTCTCCTGAAATTAACCACGTACCCATAAGCTATATAATTAATAGATTTTAAAGCTTTTACTCACCTGCGGGTTCTCATCATCCAGGATCGATGGTTCCGCCGGCCTCTTTGAAGCTGCTGCCGCTCGCGACGTTGTCATGGCCGTCGTGGCAGGTTTGCTCGTGGATTTGGCTCCCAACGTATACACGTCCAGCGGTATATAGACCTCGTTATTTTGGAAATTCGCAACGGCAGGCTGCTTATAATACATTTCTGGCAGAGCCAGCGGCATGGAGAATGTACTCGTGTTGGCATCAAATGGGCTGAATTTTGAGTCGATAATGTACATAGCGAGATCACAGAGCGCCCACATTTTCTGAAAACCGAACAAATATATATATATGTTAAGAGGGGGCTAAACACGCTAACAATTTAGTTGCATACATAGTTGTCGCGCTTGTCCGAGCCCTGACTGAACTCGCGGTGCTTTATCAGCTGCAGCAGCTGCTTGTAAAAGCTGTGGACAAACGATTCCCGTTTGGCCATGAGGGGCTCCAGAACGAAACGCAAACACTTCTCCATTTTGCGCAGCTGAACGTAGTCCTCGTGATTCGTAAAGCGGGGATCGTGGACCAGCACGGGTATGGCGAAGGCCAGCATATAGTCAGGTAGAATGTGCAGTGATTGTGACTCCGTTGAGCTGTCGGGAGCTGAAATACAATTATTAAATGGTTTTGGGTAAATGATTTAAAATAAAATGAATGAGTATATGCTTACATGTCATGGCTACAGTCTTGAGATATTCCCGACGTTTGTTTACATCCGTTTCCGCATAATGACGCACAAGGTCTTGCAATCTGTTGAGAAAGTTTATCGTTACTTATAGAAAGGCTACCGCTGGCAGACAACAAAACTCACTTTCTGTCAGTCTCTAGTCCAGCCAGCACATACAAGCCCATAAAGTCCAGGGGCAGGCAATTCCTCGGCAGACTTCTGCCCAATCCCTTGTGCAGTTTGCGAGCAAAGATTTCCCGAACCTCAGGCACCGGATCCACCTGAGAGAAGACAAAACACAAATTTATTATTAAGCAAAAAAAATGTGTCTCTACTCACCATTAGCTGGGAGAGCTGCAAATACTGCTCGGCACTGTACTGATCGCCCACGCCCTTCTGCTCGCAGACCTTGAGCATGGCGCAGGCTGCCCCCAGACGCAGCCAGGATTTCTCGGCACCACAAAGGCGGTTCTGGCCGAGGAGATCGCCCCGCTGGTTGACGAACGCGGCCAGCATGCGGAATGTCTTCTGGGCGGCGTGCTCATCGGTGCGCAAGCCCAATAACCACCGGGCCATGGCCTTGAGCGCATCCAACTTGCACAGCGTGTCTAGCGGCAACTCCTCTTGGGCACACCAGTCGCTGTCCTCGGGCAAATCGTAGTCCCGCTGCGCCGGCACCTCCTGGATAAGCAGCTCCTTGACAATTCGACGCGCAATCATGTTCTTAATGGGGGTAAGAAAGGCCTGCGGCATATTGTACGCAATGTGACCTAAGGTCACGATCTTCGTACGCTGGTGCTCGCAGTTTGGCGTCAGTTTTAGGCGCAGAGTCTCGATGATCTCGTTGAATATAGGATGCACAGTCTGGGTTGTGGTTGACGCGCTCCCGGCTCCACCCGCCGATCCATCAGAGGCTGCCGACGACTGGCTGTTCACGAAAATACAACGCACCGCGTGCTTTGCCTGTTTTGGGGTGCCGATCAGAGCGAAATCCTTGCACACCGGAGCCAGCTCGTCGAGAATAGCGGGTGTGGTGTCGTCGATTAGTGGCTGGTAGCGTCCTAGATGGGTGAGAGTTTTCAGGACCAGCGGAGCAACATAATCTTGCTCGTAACTTAGCAGGGAAATCAAATGACGCAGAGAGGTGTCGGTGAAGAAGTGAGCCGAGAAGACGTAGGACAGCATCTGCAAGTAAGAGGCGAACTTAAACATGTGGATTTTGTTATCTTTCTTTTCTTTATCTAAGAACTCACGCTTAACAGCTTAAGACCGCGCTCTCCCGCTTCCTGTGGCGAGATGCCAATCTCCTCGCACATGGGACCTCCCTCAATGCACTGCTCAATTAGTCTGAACAGGAAGATAAGAGGATTAAGCCTGAGATTAGGGTAGCAATCGCAGGCGGCTTACCCAATAAGCACGCCAATGGATTCTTTGTCAACCATCACAGAAGCCACGCGTTCAATCAGCATCTTAACGGTGTTGTAGTACAGATTGGAGTGAACATGGGCGCCCAGCTTTTTCAGTAAAACTCCCATCGTGTCGGCGCACTCGCGGCAACTTACGTCCCGCTTGAGGACAATGTTGATGCAGCGCAGCAGTTGGGCATCCTTGCGCAGATTGTTGCTAAACTGGGTGAGGTACTCCGCCGCTTTCAGGGGATCAGGCAGCAATCTGCAAAGACACATTATTGGTTAAAATTTCTTAACAGGGGATCTTTATGGAACGCACTTGGCTATGTTTGCCTGTTTGGCGTTTAACTGGCTGAGCACGCGCGGAGTAAATTCCTTGGAGTGGTGCAGTTTGATCCAATCGCTGACCGTGTTGCGGGTCTTCATTTGGTTCTTTTGCAGCTCCACAAATGCCTTAGTTGCGTTGGCATCCAGATCACCCAGCAGATGGTACAGCTTCTTCATGCGCTCCTCGGGAGCCAGTTTGTAGGGCACCAGGCAGGTGATGAGCAGGCGTTCCACGAGCAGTCGATCCTCCAAGCCCACTTTGTAGTAGCCGTGCAGTATCTTGTTCTTGATCCAGTCCACTCTAACTTTGAGCCCGGTACTTAAGTCGTTGGGCTCGCAGATCGCTCGCTTGTAGATGTAGGCCAGTCCGTTCATCGCGTCCCTGCGAATCTTGTACTTTTTGTCCAGCGTCCGTTCGCGCACGATCTCTAGGAGTTCAGCCGCCTCGAGCACCAGAATAAAGTCCCGCTTGGCAGTCTCAACAATGGCCATCACCACTTCGTGGCGCACAACCTCGTCCAGATCATGATTCCTTAGCCGCAACTTTTCGGTGATATCGCCCTGAAGATTCGGATGATTGAGCAGGAAGTGCATAGACGACTGGACGCACTTAATGCGGACGGGCTCGGTTATGTCACAGAAGCGTCCGAAGAAGATTTTAAGAAGATTCTGATACTTCTTCGACAGCTGTGAGTCCTTTTCGGAGAACATACGTGCCAAGAGAGTGGTTGCCTCTGTGGAAATGTAATTCATTTGTATATTAATATGCAAATAATGCAAACCGGATATAAATTACTCACTAAGTCTCTCAGCATCGTCTGTGGACAGCAGTTTGTTCTCCAGTTGGGGCAGCACTGAGCACAGCAGGTCCGCATTGATGCGGTTAAGCTCATAGATGATATCGTATATTTTGTTTGTAATGGACAGTTTAGTGTTTGGCTTATCCATGACCAAAGCACGATTGAAGAACTATTGATCAGAGATTTGTTTAAGCAAACTGGGGAACCACAGGCAAACCAAATATTACCATTTTGATGGTGGACTCCAGAGCATCGCCCGTTTTCGTGAGGAGTTGTTCGGTTAGTTGGCAGGCAAACTTGTTGTTGGATTTGTACGGTTCCACAATGTTAATCAGTATGAGATCCAACAATTCCACTGATAGATTATCGGCTTCTGTGATCAGGGGACTGAGCACGTCTAGAAAAAAGTTAGTAACCTTGACGCTGTGCTGGTCACTGCAAAGATATGAAGTATTTGATTATTTGAAAAACCCTTTTTACGATAGGCTTCTTAGGCTCAGCTTACTTGACAATCTTAAAGATGGTGCTGAAAAGCTCCTGGAAAATCTCCTGGCAGTCCTCCAACTCGAAGCACATATTGAAGGACTTGACAAAGGCCAGATTTTCTAGCAGATAGAAGTATCGTTTGAAGGAGGGATCACGGGGGTCCTTTAGTCCATGCAGTTGCTTAATGAAAAACTTAAATATAGTTTTGATTTGATCTTGTTCTTTGTAGGGCGCTTCGGGTGCATATACGCGAAGGACATCTGCCACGCAGCAGGCGATTAAAAGTTGGACATCGCGGGAAGTGTGCTGCATGAAGAAGTCGTCCAGTAGATGGAGGGCCAATGGGATGTACTGCTGGTAGAGATTGTCGTCCTGGTCCATGGTCTGGAGCACATTGGCGAGGGTCTGGGGAGAGATTTTCCGCCTTTATGGAGTTTTTTAAGTGGGGGCTTAAAAAACTTACCTTGAGGCGTCGTATCAGCTCATCCGTGCCCAAATCCTCGACCAGCGGCCGACATCCAGTGGGATATACTATGTCCGCCATCCTCACCAGCTAAGGGAAGCTACCTGCAAGCTAGGATTCCAAGGATTTAATGGCAGGTGCATCAATGCCGCGCAATAACAACAATAAATGTACGCGACCCTCAAAATAACATTGGAAAATCGGGGAAGAGGGTGGCATCGCACACACACTCACGCACGCAGCCCCACACTCACGCACAAACACTTGCAGCCACAAAACTGGCGAATATTGCAGTGCTTTTTGTTCGCAAACAACAAAGTAAAGAGTTCCCAAGTTGAAACTATTTGCCCTGCAGTTACCCAATGTTTTTGGCTAATCGACGGCGCAGTTTTTGGCATTTGCAATCTTACTTTTCACAACGGGCAGGCGGCGGCACAATTTTTGCCAATTTTGCGAACCGCTGCTTTCGATCTGCGCCCAAAACGCACGTCTCCTGGAAATTACTGCACTCTGGAAAGTATCGCGGTTGAAAGCTATTTACACATTTTCGCCCGTTGACGTTGTTTTGTGGTACGTATGTTGTTAAAATAGGTAAAACCGAGGAGCATTTATGCGGAGTGGCACGCCATTAATCCACGCACGGAGCGTTGCCAGATGGAGCCCGGTAGTGTGACCAGTCTCTCTTCCGATTACTTCTCGATTGTATTTCAGCTGTTTGCACGTGACGTGTTGTTGGGGTTAGAGATGGGAGCTTATTATATCGTGTCACGAAATATATCTAAGATGTATTTTCTCACATATTTAAACATATATTTCCTTGTAAATTAACCTTCTTATGACCTTACGCAGCTTACAAATGTTTTTACTCAAAGAAAAATACAAGTTTTTATATAGTTTGTACAAGATTAAACCGTTCATTATTCGTGCTATCGTGCCGCAGGATTCTGTCACCCGGCCATCTCTAGATTTGTTTGTTGTGCTTGGTAAACAACTATGGCGTTGCCACATATCCGCAATTAATGCAAGGACGGCAAACATAAGATAAAGATAATTGCACAATTACTGGCACCTGCAGCCGGCAAATGCTGTAACGGAATTTCCCGCGCCTAAAAGACGATGGCGCGCATGGCTAAAGCGACGGAGGAGAAAGGTTAAGGGCGCAAAAAGCTATTTCGACAGCTCACCATGCTTTGTTTTCTAATCCAATTAAGCGTGTGCCCTGAAATCGGTGATGCGGCGGTTCTGGCCAGTTGACCGCCGTCCGTTGCAACAGCTCCACATTCCCCAAAATATGAACAGACTTGCGTAAATATTGCATGGGCAGTGCAGATTTAAATATAGACTACATGTATGTATATAGACGCGATGTAAGTCAGTTGCAGTTGGCAGAAGACAACCAAAAGTATTAATCAAGCAATCCAAACCTATGTGGAATAGCCGGTATTATGGCTTCCTTGCGCATAGTTAATAGGTGGGTAAAATTGCTTTTATTTCTATGAACCCAACCGATTAATCCTTTTTGTATCCCCGAAAGAAACAGATTAGTGTGCCGTGGCTTTGTGGCTCTGACGTTGCTGCTGGTCTTCTTTAATGAGTTTATCGTTTATTACATGGCCCAGTCCAGTTGGCAGCCAATCGATTGCAAACTAGGTATGCTTTAACCCGGTTTCGAAATAGGAACACCCACTTATCGGCTTCCCCACACAGATAATTGCACCCGCCTGCTGCTCATTGCTGATCCCCAGATCCTGGGCAACTCCTATGATCGCTCCTCGCACAGTCCTTTGGCCAGATACGATTCGGATAGATATCTAGCCAAGACCTTCGAGCGAGCCCTGGCCTTCACGCAGCCCCACATCATCGTTTTCTTGGGTGATCTGCTGGACGAGGGTAATATAGCCACGGCCCAGGAATACAAGCAGTATGTGCAGCGATTCAGGCGAATCTATCAAAACAAGAAGTATAAAAAAGTAAGGATAAAAATATTACAACCATGTATAAAACCAATAATCTTAAAGATTACATATTTATTTTATTTTATACTTAGCTGAGAGTACTTTTTTAGTACATTATTTTTTTAGTTAAAGTACATTATAAATTTAAACAAAATATGTTGATAACCAATAACCCCTTAAAACTTAACAGTTTCGCATGATCTCCGCCTTTTTTCAGCGCGTTCATGTACCGGGTGACAATGATATTGGAGGCGAGAATGGGGACTACATATCCAACTCGAACCAAAGGCGATTCGAAAACGAATTCATGAGTGAAGACCTCTTTGACTATGACAATCACTTGCGATTCTTCAAGATAAACCGCATGCTTCTAGACTTTACCAATCCGGATAGGGATAATAATGCCGATCGGCTAAGGATTGGTGTGTCGCATGCCCCGTTGCTTATTGGCGGTGGACCCTTGCTGAGGGCCATCATCAGTGACTTGGATCCACATATCATTTTCTCGGGCCACTGGCACGAATCGAGAATATTTATTTACCCCTCCACCAAGGTGATCAACTTCTATGAGAACGCTGTAAGGCACTTTGATCTGAAGGCCCTGAAAGAGCAGGAGCACAGTTATTTGGAGATAATGGTACCCACATCCTCGTATCGCATGGGGAAGTCTAAGATTGGCATGGGCTATGCGGTGTTGGGTGAGTTTTAACATATGTTAAATCTATTCCAAGCTAAACTTCACCCTAATCTTGATATCAGAAAACTACAATCTGAGCTACACGGTTCTGTGGCAGCCGAATCGCTTCATATTGCTCTTCACTTACGTATTCTGGGGCCTGTTTGTCATCTGCGGTGCCGTTGTCTTCAAGATGATGACCCGCTGTCCCTTCCGCGTGGCCAAACGACAGACGCTGTACAATCGTGTCTCGACCATACCTCAATTTTAGACTGCATTTTCCACTCCTCACGGACAATAAGCTCCAGATTCTTAAGAGTTGCTTGTATATTACAACTCAAAAAAATGAGATTAAAATTTATTTATTTTATATATAGACAAGCCGCCAAGAATTCAAATAATATTGCTTAGTATTTATTGAAATTGATTGTAAACTATAAAGTCCAAAAGTGCTAATTTTAGTTTTGAATTAGAAAATAAATTTAATCCATGTCCTCCAACTTTTAACGATTGTTTAGGCTTCCAAATTTTTAAAAAGAGCAAAACAAAATGTTAAGGATTAAGCAATTGAGCATGTTGGAAAAAACAAGACTCAAAGTGTTACTTGGGGTTCTTTTTTATTGGGTTCCAAGCTCCAGGAGCTTTTATCATTTTAAATTAAACCCCTTAATTAAAAAAATTTCGAGTCATAAAAGTGATTTTTAAACAAAAATAACAATCATATTTATGAAACAACTATTTTTATACCCTTGCAGAGGGTATTATAATTTCAGTCAAAAGTTTGCAACGCAGTGAAGGAGACATTTCCGACCCTATAAAGTATATATATTCTTGATCAGCATCACCAGGAGAGTCGATCTAGCCATGTCCGTCTGTCCGTCTGTCCGTCCGTCTGTCCGTCCGTCTGTCCGTCTGTCCGTCTGTCCGTCTGTCAGTCTGTCCGTCTGTCCGTCCGTTTCTACGCAAACTAGTCCCTCAGTTTTAAAGCTATCTGCTCGAAACTTTCCCAAAAGTTGTCTTTCTATTGCAGGTAGTATATAAGTCGGAACGAGCCGGATCGGGCGACTATATCATATAGCTGCCATATAACTGAACGATCGGAAAAGCCATAACTTTGGTGTTTTTAAAGATAAGAAGTTGGGACTTTCTATGGGTTTTATTTTTGGCCAATCAATCCGACATACCGAATTTCATAAGGATCGGCCGACTATATCTTATAGCTGCCATATAACTGATTGATCGGAAGTGCCATAACTTTGGTGTTTGTAAAGTTAAGAAGTTGGGATTTTCTATGGGTTTTATTTTTGGCCAATCAATCCGACATACCAAATTTCATAAGGATCGGCCGACTATATCTTATAGCTGCCATATAACTGAACGATTGGAAATGCCATAACTTTGGTGTTTTTAAAGTTAGGAAGTTGGGATTTTTTATGAGTATTAAGAATGCATCATATGAATAATTTTGGAGAATATAATATACAGAGTATTCTGCAAGGGTATATCAACTTCGGCTCCGCCCGAAGTTAGCTTTCCTTTCTTGTTATTCTTGCCATAAGTTTTATGTGTTAGAAATGTTATAATCAAAACGTGCAAACCATTCAAAAAAATTATTAAATATTTATGGAAACTAGAATGCAAGTGATAAATACTTTTTTATTTTATACCTTACTTATTTTAAATGCTTTTTGAATTTTCACATATACTACTATTTTACCGACTTGCTCTTTTGAAAAGTAGTAGCTCGCTGGAAGAGGTAGTAGAATCCAGCAGAGTTGCTCCCACCACCCGTCTGAAAATACCGGGTAATACTGGGTACAATTGAAGGCGCATGTGCGAACCGTGCGCCGGCTGGCAGTGTTAAATTAGCCCGATGCGGCGTCTGTCAGTAGAGTTCCGAAACCGAACGCGGAAGGTTGTGCCCTCAAGAAAGCGATACCATCTCCTGGTCCCCTCGAACTCGAACTCGAATCGCTCGAAAGATCCCCGGGCTCTGCGTCTGCGGCAGGATAATAAAGCGTGACGCGTGTGCGTAACATAAAAATAACCATAAAGCAAATGCTCTGAACTCCGGACGGAATAAATGAAGTGAGGTGAAGTAGTGAGGCGAATGAAAAACAAAAACCGACGAAGGCAAACGGAATTCCTTCAAAAATCGGCAAATAAACAAGAAGTAAGAAGAGCACACACCGGTTTTGTGCGAAAGAAGCGAAGGAAGTACGAAGTGAAATCAAAAGAATTTTTCGGCTCGAAATGAGGCTGAACGGAAGACGATTGTTGAGCTGCGGCCTGGGATTCTTCTGCCTGATCTTGTGCTCTTACGGTGAGTTGAATCGGCTGACTGACTCATCTTTTCTTCATTTTCATAACTCCTCCACAATCTGACCCTCCCTCAGCCGCACCTTTATCTTTTGAGGATGTGAGCATCGCCAAGGGTCCCCAGACCTCGATAACCATCAAGGAACAGAGTCCTTTGCAATTGCCCTGCGACTACCAAATGCCGGATATGTATCTTCAGGGCAATAGCGTCATCCTGCGCTGGCGGAAGGATAACAAAACGTTCCGTCAAACGGAGCTGGGAAGGATGAGCAGCACCACCAGAGAGCCCCAGCTGGAAACCATGGTGCGCGAGGATTCGCGAGTGGCCTTGAATAAGGAGAGTGGCTCCCTGCAATTCAACAGTGTTCTAGCCAGCGATGCCGGTCAGTATCAGTGCCAAGTGGTCATCGATGGTTCTGTGGCAGCAAGTTCAATTTCCGGAGTCCTCATGGTCATAGAACAACTTAAGTTCGTGCCACAGCCGACCTCCAAGAACTTGGAATTGGGTTCTCTGAGTAAAGTCCACTGCAAAGCACAGGGAACACCACCTCCACAAGTTAAATGGATGAGGGTAAGTAGTCGTTAACTAATGAATTAGAGAAATACTTTTTTTTAATATGGTTAAATTCGGTTTAAGGTACAAGTTAAAGACTTGATTACCTAGACTAACAACAACTATGATTTTTAAGAAATCTATTTAATTGTTCTACAAACATATTTCATGACAACTAGTTTGTTTTTCTTTAACATAAGTAGGTAAAATAATAGACTGGATTTGAGTAAAAAAATCTTAATTTTTAACCTGTTTTAAATTAAATGAATATAAATCCTAATATAAGAATCGAAATGAATCCAAATCATTGGATGTAGATATTTTTAAGTAATTGAATTATTAGTTGTGTTAATATTATATTCCATATTCAAATATATTTTTGAATTTGAAATTGAATTCGATTTAATTTTTTTGGAGTATACAAACCTCAACATACTTGCCATATGAACTCCCTATTTAACACTTCCCTTTTTTAGGAAACCCAACTGCCGCTGCCCGCAAATGTGACCGACCAGAATGGCACGCTGATCTTCAACCATGTGACCAATGAGCAGCGTGGTCAGTACACCTGCATAGCCTCGAATAGCCAGGGTCAGATCAGTGCCACCGTGTCCATCAATGTGGTGGTAGCGCCCAAGTTCAGTGTTCCGCCCGAGGGACCCATTGAGGTGGCGGAAACCGGAACAGCGGTGATCCACTGCCAGGCTATCGGAGAACCAAAGCCCACGATTCGCTGGGACAAGGATCTCACCTATTTGAACGAGAACAACACGGATGCGGAACGCTTTTTGCTGATGGAGAACGGAACACTGGAAATCAGGAATGTCCGCCCGGAGGATGAGGGGCGGTACGGCTGCACAATTGGCAGCAGTGCGGGATTAAAGCGCGAAGATGTCCTGCTGGTGGTGAAGTCTAGTAAATCTGCCTCCAATTCGATAGTGACCAGGATTATCATCGTGATCATTTGCCTGGCCTTCTTGTACTTTGTGCTGGTGCTGGGCTTGAAGGTGTGGTACCGCTACCGTCGTCACCTGGGCAAGGTCCAGTTGGAGGACGGCCACGCCAATGGACCCACCGATGGCCAGGAGCATGATCATCCCGAAAACGAGCCCTGTCTGACGGAGGCCAATTCGAGCAAGAATCTGAAGAGCAAACTGAGGGAAAGCGTTATCCTAGAGCAGGAATCCCAGGTGGCCGATGATATTGTATAAGGAGTTCGTGTCCTCTGGAGCCACTTCTCAGCCGCTTTCCATGATCTCGGTCACATGCTCCTCGAGTGTTACTCCGTTTTGTTGTTGAGAATCAATAAGGAACTTGTGAAATCCCCCAGAAATCTATTTGTATTTATATTTATCTAGTTTATATATATATATATGTATTTATGCATGTGTGTGTCTGTGTGTATATATCCCATGTACAGTTATTTTTTAGTAGAATAAATATTTTATGGCTCTCATAGAGCCCCATTTTATAGCGCAATCGTTTCAATCTCCCATTTTTTTGCGGCGGAACAAGCGTTGTGGGGGGCTCGTAAAATTGCTCCGCTCCACCATCGTAAATTCGTAGCCCACTTGGCACGGCCGTAAAGCCCATGAAACCCGGATGAGTGTTCAACAGCTTTTTATGCGCTTTTTATGGCGCAAGCAGCACGCATCGGATGACGAAAAACTCCGCTGCAAAGAAAGGCAACCCCCGATAAAAAGTCGTAAAATAGCTCGACATTCTGGCATTTCTTCGGTGGGATAGGGATGGTTTTTCTTAAATGAATACAATGAAATAATCAAGATTTGTGCTTTAGGTCCTAGAAAAGATCAACAGCAAACCACGATTTTTATATTTTCTATTGGATATTATATATTTCATTTCAAAAGTCAACATTTCATTTCGAATTTATTTAATTTTTAAACGGTTTTTGGTAGTCATAAAACCAAATATAAAATAAATATCTTGAAATCAAATGTTTTCACAGGAATTTCAAATTATTAACAAATAGAAATGATTCATAGCATAAAAAATGCGTAAAATATTTATTCAAAAAAAAAAATGGTTTGTGTTGTTGTTGATTAAAAATTAAAAAGGTGGTGAAGTCTGGTGGAAAATGTAAAGTTAATTATCCGTGTAACTGTTTTATCGTAAAATATTTAAGTTTGCAATAGCCAGGTCAAAAGTGTAAGTATTGCAATATCAATATTTGTCTCACATCTTGTTTGATTATTTGATTACTCAGTAATGCCATGTTAAACCCCCCTTTGTAGGTTCACAATCGCCCTCCGATGTCTTCATAAGTCATCTGCTCTGGCCATCATCAAGTGAATTTCCCGCAATTGCCGACGACAATTTCTTTCCAATTGCCAGCGTCTGCACTTAATCGCTTCATTTCCATTTGCATTTCCACTGCCATATTCAAGCCTGCCCTGGGCTTCAATCGCAATTGCCTATGTGTTTTATGCATATTTTATGGTTTTTTATAGCGCTCGAATAAACAGCGCACATCAAAGGCGAGTACACATGCGCAGGTTACTCCGCGGCAGGCAACCAGATAAAAAAGTAAGCGGCAAGTGCAATTAAACGACCACCCCTGCCTGCATTTCCACCAACCCATTCGACTTTCGAATGGTATCCTATGCAGCACCAGCACCCCAACCTCTCTCTCTATATATATATATGGTATATACGATTTGCCTTTGATCTGCGGCGGCGACGACGACATCGACATGCATTAAAAACTTGTTGTTGGGGGCCCTTCCGCTGATGTTTTCCCTCTTCTTCGATTTTCCCCCTCCTTTTTTTTTGGGTACTTTTTCGCCTTATTTGTTTATAGTAAGTGCGCACGGGGCCTCTGGCTTGTGCCTCTGCCCAAAAACACCTTCAAACGCTGTATAATGTTTATTTTGTTTAGTCTACGCAAAGGCCGCGTTACTAAAATTTATTTTAATGCCTTCAAATGTTTGATGTTTGCTAGCGGAGCATTCGGATTTGGATTCTAGCCGGAATTCGTTGCAACTTTGGGATGCTCCATAAAATTATACGATTGTGAGGCGTTGAGTTACGGTAAGCAGTTCGAAATAATAACTTAAACAAGTATGGATGGAATCTAAATGGATAGCTGGAAGTCCCTAAAAGATGAAAGGATTTAGTTGGAAAGTTAAGAGTTTTGTAAGTTCAAATAGTAGCAAGACTTCATACTTGACTTCCTGAAAGTAGTATTTTCTATATTGCTGAAGGCATGAGGTTTGGTTCAAATTCATATACAAAACTACATTGTTAAGGTACTTAAAGATTGTACGGGTTCTATGTTTACAAATAAATAGTATTCCAAAAAAAAAAAAGAATTTTATTTAAATGCTATTATCAAGGATTCTAAAACTCAGGAATTTAATCAGAATAAGGGTACACTAACGATCTTTAAATGAAAGAGAACATTTTTCAGATTGCTAATTAAGCTGTGGATTCCCAACCCAGCAGAAAAAGATAACTGTGACTTATCCAATTAACATATTACCCTTTCACAACCCTTTTGAAATACCAACTTTAATACAATATTATTAACACACCATTTGCAGCTTTGGTTCGTCCGATCGTTTACACCCCAAAATCATGGAGGGCGCAAAAAGAACCAAAAACGAAACAACAGATATAACAAAACATAAGCCCTATATTCAGGCAGGGCATGGCATAAATCTCCAACTTTATGACATCAATAACTGTCGTTCGTCCAAAGTCGGCGAGCATTGGGAAATGGGAAATGGAAAAGCGCACTGGAGGCCCAATTTTGGATGGTCCCTTTCTTCCCTTCTGGGCATGGCTAACATTTGATAACCGCACACACGCATTTCCACGCAGATATAATCACAAAGGGCCGGGGCTGTTAATCAGGGGCGGGGCCCAGGGGGAACAGGGGGGGTACGGGGGGGAAAAAGGGGTGGGCACCACCCCTCGCTCGGATATATAGTTTATACAAATGGCAACGGCAGTTTACGACTGTTGGGTGTCAGTCAACGCCGGCCCAAGGATCTGCTGCAATTGTTTTTGTGGCTCTTGGGTTGGTTTTCCATTGTGCGGGGTTGAAAGGCCTCGTAAAAAAAAACAAGCGGAAAACTATAAAATGAAAAACACACACAGCCACTCGCTCATAATCGCACAGTAGCCATAGACTGTCTTAGATGCACCGAAAAAAATATAATCTTAAATTATAAAAATTAAATAATTCCTTATAGCTTTTATTCAATGTAAAGCAAGACTATAAGTGTTAAATTATTGAACTCTAGAACTTAATTATATAGTTATAATTATGGTTTCAAAGAATCAAAGCTTGAATGTAATAAACATTTAATATTGAAATTCCAAGTTTAATCCAAAAATTAAAACTAATATGTATATTTTTCTGAGTGTGGAAAATTGGTAGTGGAAGTCTCTTGCAGTTCCCCCAAGCCACGCGCATATATCTGCTCGTAAAAACAGCAAGCCACCAATGGATTTCCTCTCCGCCGCTCGACCACCCCATATTTTAGCCGATTCTTGGTTTGGTCATTAAGACGCATTATTGTTTGGATTTAAAATGGGGGGAAACGACGGATGATGAGACAGCGGGCGGTTTCATAGTGACTATATCCTGATTGCCGACAACTGATAGCTTTGCTTTGCATTTCTGTTTCAGGGGGAATTTATCAATTAAAATAATAAAGAGATTCAGACTGTGAAAATAATTAAATATATTTCCTTAATCTCATAATAATATCCAATTACTTTCAAAATAAATCAAATTGGAAATTAAGAATTTTAATTAATTTTTTAACATTTTATTATTTTAAAGTTACATAATTAATTATTAATTTAGATATTAATTTTTATATATGTACTAAACTATTATTTACATGTTTTTTGAGCTTAGCATCTACAAAATACCTTTTATCTGAATATAACACATTCTGGTAAACCATTCTTTTCCTGAAAAACTAAATTATATTTTGAAAAGAAAAATAAACTAAATTTAAATATAGAACTACAATAAAATAAACCTATATTTATTTACACAAAAATCATTATTCGGTTTAGAACCTTCTTTAAAAGCCAATCTATTAAAATTCCCCATTTAAGGGCAGAAGAAATTTAAAATTTGTAAACCATTTGTTAAATAAGAAAAATTAAGCTAACAAACCGTGTAAATAAACGATTTCAGTTAGAATTTTAAACTTTGCCGCGCAAGAACCGCTGGTTTCACCTCGGCAACACTGCCAGAAATACTGGCCAGCATAAAATACTGGTCACAAGTACACATAATCCTCCAGAAAGAGAGAGCCCCATCTGCACCCAGTATTTTCCATGGAGAGCACCAAAAGCCGGTTCCCACCAACAACTTCGAACAGCCGGCAGCGCTCAGTAATAAACAGACTTCGAGCGCGTGCAGTTCGGTGGTTCGATTCGACCAGATACTATATTCCATTCCGCTCCGCTCCTTTTCGATCCGTATTCGTACTGAGTTTTCCCGAGTTTCCCCCGACCAAAGAAATCACCCACCAAAAGCCGGTTCGGGATGCGATGATTATGATGATGATGATGATGATGCCAAGGATGCAGCTGATGCAGGCTGGCTCTTGTATCTTCGAGATACAAATTAAGTTGATTTGTTGCGCTCGCGTTCTCTTGGGTAATTGAACCCAAGTTCCTTGTGCCGCGGTCTTCGAGCATTTCATTGCATTTTGTGTATCTAGATACCTTTGTCGGTATCCGTCGCTTGTCAATCTGGTCACTGATAAAAAAGCAAACGCATCGCAACCACGAAACATAAACCAACGACAGCGACAACGACGGAAAATAAAAGTAACAAACAGCAAGTGGCGTATCTGTGTGTTCGGTGATAAATGCATTTCATGCGTTCCAACTATGTAAATAGCAATTTAATTTGAGTGTCCACAGTAAACATCAAAAAACCGCCCTGGACGTCTGTCCACCACCCCAGTAAGCCCCTGGTAAACCTCTGAAAACCCCTGAAAACCCCTGAATACCCCCCGAAAACCCCTGAAAAAGGGCAGTCGTCGTCGTCGTCTGTGGCATCCAAATATTGAATATTTACAAATGCGTTGAGTGCATTTTCGAGTGGCCGGCACTTACAGCGACTCTCTGGTGGATGTGCGAGTGTATTCATCGGATTGCCAGCCCCATAAAAATAAAACTCCGATTCCGATACGACTCTATATCCGATACGCGGTTGTGCAGGTGTTCGTACATATTTTTTGAGTCGCTAATTGAGAGCGGAGGTGTTGAAGTGGCCAGGATATACACGTAAATGGCTGCCAGGATGATCTCAATATACGGCTTGGCCATAGCTTTGATGACGGGTAAGTGGACTACCATTGGATTATGTGGGTTAAGTTGGGGGTTCCCCTTTTCTTGAGGGGGGGTTGACTACATTGAAACATCGGGGAATCTTATTTGCTTAAGGGGTTTAGGTTTTCAATTCGCTTTTATTTG